TGATCTCAAACTATTCAGTCTTATTTTGAAGACATTTAGTGCCTAATCTGTAGCCATGTGACGAATGTGAGTTCCTGTAGATGTTCCTGACGTAAATGCTTATTAGGAGACTGATAAATGTTGGGGATATTAGATCCCCAAAACTCGCTTCATAAATATCTTTATTTTGGAATTATTTCATGGATCGATCAGTTGACCTTGGAATCACATTTCCCACCAGGAAAATCCTTGGCTGTGATTGGTTACTGTATGATTTTAGTGTGCTACCTTTTTATGTGTTCGAAGGACGTCTCTATGGAGTATAAATAAACGCAATTTGAGTGCTTGAACTGATTGTGTGCTGGCCGGGTGTTTGTAGAATACAATTTCTACGCTATATCAAGACTTCTTGCTGGTACAGTTGGGTCAAAGGATCACAGTAGCCTACCTGGACGTTGGTTCATTGTTTTGTCGCGGTTTTTCGAAGAAGGTGAATCCGTAATAGCTTAAGCATACCTAGAGAGTAGCATAACATAACTGACTAGATGATTGAGGACATTTAGTTTGGACTCACAGGAGTTCATGAACTTGAGAAGACAAATCAGTAAAAACAAATGAGTTCAAAATACATCAACTGATTCGAAGACGCCTAGATAAGCATTCACTTTCTAGAATGATTAAATGGAATGATCATAAGTCATGAAAGTAATAAGTACATAAACTTCATGATTATGAGTATATCCTTCAGATGTCAGACAACTAGTTAACAACTTTAATAAAAATGTTTACAAATGTCGAAAATACATTCTTTGAACCAGCTCCATAACTCATATTATTCATCAATCTGTAATGCAATAATATAGTTATGTATATGTGAGTAAAATAATTGGTATGCCTGGGCTGATTTATGCTTGTTTTGTACATTATGACACCTCAGAATAAAATTACTGTCATAATATACTTTCAAGTATATCCAAAAAGTTAATTTATCACTAGCAGTATTAAGTATAACTAGATAGAAAATGAAACACTTTTACCACTTCAAATTACTGACTTTATGCACTGCAGGTTGATTTAAATTGTAGACTTTACTTGTCGTCTTTGGAGGTACAATGGAAAATAAAGTGGACTGAACAAATGTTTCGTGTTAGTCTGATCTATTCCAGAACCGTTAAGTTTCACGGTGAGCGCCTGACTGTTGAACAGAGGCTATCATTTTAGAATGGAAAGTCAGATACGACATTCTCATTGGATCTGATACACCATCTGAAGATCTTCAGTTTCCTCACTAAAACACTTAATTGCTAGGCTAATGAATGTTTTTTTGAATAACCAGAAGATAACAAAAATTGCACATAATACCCCCAAACGAAATAAAATATTTTTGAATAGATATACTAGTCGATCATTATGCCCATATCTCTTAGGTATCTATTAACAAACATATTATCTAAATACAGAGTGCATATAACTCTTCAATACTACAAGATACATGTAGTTTAGGTTTTATGGATTTACACTAGCCAATAAGCAGACAACCTTTGAGTAACTTTTTAAGTCTTTGCTTAAAGGGCAACCCAATGCTAACTTGCTCCAACTGAAGAGTAAGAACAAAGACCAGTGATTGTCATTCCAAGATTCTTTATTATATTTTAAACTTTCCTTTATATACACACAAAAAGAGAACAGATAGCACCAATAAATTTAAATTAACAACTATACAACACTGGAACCAGTGACTGTCAGTATAAGAGATTGTAAATGATCAATTGTCAACAAAATACGAACAGTTAATTGGATGATAATCATTTATAGGTTAATTGAAAGCTTATGATAAAAGGAATATATATATACCTGGCAGATTAGTTAAGGAATGATTGCACAATTAGATCATATATTCATCAATAGTTCATAAATTAGTTGCAATTAGTTACTATTTACTTTCGTATTCATCTAGACACAACATTAACTTGATGAATTACAGAAGTTTATGTATCAATTAGATTTTTCAAATAACTATGACTTTAGTTCAAATAAAACAATTTAGAATTTTATTAATTTGTAATAGTGGTATGAAATTTCCAAAAATTATCGATTATTTATCAATGATGACAAAAGGTTTTTCTGTATATAAGATATAAATAAGTAGAAAAATATCTTTATAATAGACATTTTGAACTGTTCAATCCGGAACGATTGCGCACATGTGTATAGTTTCTTTTTTTCAATAAAATAGATGTAGATTTTATTTAATTCGATTTATAACAGCTGTCTACAATATATGATATCGGGATCAAGATTTCGATCCAATTTTAATATGCTATTGAAAATGAAGTTGGGCAAAAGTTATTGTAATGTAATAACATGGTTTAGTGAAGATTTAAATGAAACAGAAGCTTGAATGGAATATCGGTAATGAATATCACAAGCAGTAAAAGATTGTGAAACATGGATTAACGCTGTAGCAAAACTGTAGTATTGAATTGTATTGGTTACATGATGTGTTGACCGAACTCAGGTTAATTATTATAAGCAATGGCTTGAATAAAGCCCACTTAGTTAAAATGTTAAGACTACGGACTGGCAAGAAGCGATGTAATGTTGTATAGTCTTTAAATTCGAAGCCAATAAACAATGATTTTCTGAGAAATATAGTCTCTTTAAATTATTTTTTTTCTCAGTTTATTGCTAATGTAAACCGTCGCCTTGTTGGAGGGTTCATATAGAATGTTCGGTCACAAAATTGATATCGAAAATTTTACTAATTGCAAGTTACTGTATGACGAAGTAAATTAAACAAAGTGTAGACATTGTGGTGGACTAAAAGTCATCACTGTCAAAAGGGTGACAGTCTTATTTCACAATCAATCTAGAACAATGAATGATATTCAAATATATAGAGATTTACATACAGCATTAAAATGGAACGTCAATTAGACTGTTTTCAGGATAGGCATTCCGATTTGCTTGGTCTTGCAATCCACAGTTATGAAAAATAACTAATACTGCCCAAACATGATATGTATATATAATCCGAACGATGCATGCCAAGAATAATCGAATAATAAGAAAATAATTATCACCTATAAACGTAAATAACAGTTGAATTAAACATCTATTCTCTCAGCAGCTGATCTGGTGAAGACGAGGAGTGTTCAATCAACTGTGTAATTGATATGACACACAAGTTCAGAACGAAACAGTGTCAGAAGACCAAGATTAAATTTAAACAACAACTTTGTAGTCGTTAACAGTGATTGTACAAATGAAGTGGGATTACGAAAAAGGTGAAAAGTTACAAAATTTGTTTACAAAAGAAGTCTACGTTAAACACCTCCACAATATCAGTATTTATTCTAGCATTTTTGAACTTTAAGAAAACTGGAACAGACATCAGTAGATCAAACCATATTTTTATAATCTTATGCAGACTAGAAAATTATAATTTTCAAAATTAATCTATATAAATAAAATATTGATAATTAAACAAGAAGAATGATTACAAGCCAACCTCCGAGAGAGAGTAAAAAGGCACTTAAATATACAGAAAGGTAGAAGATAGACAATTCTGTCAGGCTGTGATCGAATTTAAGCTATTTGCTTAAGATTTATTAACCATGTATTTGTTCTTCCAATAAAGCCTCCTTTCTTTATATCAGTGAGATGAAAGTGTTTGTTACATCGAGATATTTCTAAGGATTTACAGCTAGTTTAGTAATATTTCATCGGTTAAGTATTGGCTGTTTATTAAATATGTTCTAGGCGAATCAACTGGGTACTGTTACTGTTATTAGCTAAATATTCTTGGCCTGTTATGAACAGATGTATACTTATGACAAATTAATCTGAATACTCTTAACACTAGTAATTTAACTGACTTTAATGTTAAGTGATTGAAATCAATCGGTAAATAAACCTGTATTTGTCAGTAAATGTTGGGTAGCTAAAATCCAAGTCTTCCCCACAATCTTGTGAGAACTGATGGTCTTTACATGCTAGCTTTATGTGAAAGCTTGGCACCAAGTTTCACAGTTACAGACACAATCTCCAAAGGTAGATTCTGATCGGTTATGGGATTCAGATTTTTTACACTAACTTGTAACTATTGTCATACTTGTTTAGCTCTCACAACCTCTCTGATTATCACAGATTACAATCAGCAAGTCATGTCTAATCCATTATTCTCCCGCAGTCTTAGAACCCATATTACTAATTATTACATTCATCTTCTCTTTCTGTAGAAAGTTAAAAATTATCTTTAACTTTTATTCTATAGATTATTACCTCTTACTGCTTCTAAATCTATTACATAACACAAGCTCTTGATGATTTTCAACAGCTTTGCCATATGATATAACTTCTACTTATTTTATACTTGAAAATGTTAATCATATTGAAATAACAATCTTCCATTTATAGAATTATGATAATCTTGACCAAATTATGCAATTATATATCTTACAGTTGATACAGTTTGACTATTTTCAATAATTTGAAATCATTAATAATGTTGTAAACCTCTTCTATTTTACTACAAACTACTACATAGAAAAATTTACCCATAGATACACTTGTAACAATTCTATAACATCATATTGTCTAGAAGAAACAATTCTTCATGGTCATATCTTCATTTCGTCAAATGAATGAATACATTTACTCTGTACTTCTTTAAAAATAAAAAGTATTTTAATGAATTTGAGTGAAAATGCAACTATCGAATTATCTGATCAAGCATTATTTACCTTTGTGTGTGTTTTTACTTTTTCTTAAATTTCATCAACATGTTTTTTTATGTTCTGTTGATTTTAAATTGTTTTGTTTACCCAATATGTATTGTTTTTCCATCGACAATGTAAACTTTGTAACATTTTGTCAATATTCTGTGAGATGATCTCGCATTCCATTTGAATTTCATAACTGATAATGTTACAGTTACACATAATGTTTGCAGTAAATATTTACTTGAGAAAGAAATTAAAAGAATTGATTTTGCTTTTATGTACACAATCCTTTCTTAAAAAAAAGATAATAAAAGTCATTAATTCTTATAAAATTACCCAGTATTCACATTGAAAGTTAGCAGTTAACAATATGAAACTGTACGTTATCGGTGTAGCATGCATAATTGGTTTGATCACTTTACAAGGTGAGTTGTAGTAGCATTAAAGGAGAATGTGTGAAGGGGATGTGAATATATACTTTTTTACAATGTTGATATTCATTTGAATATCATTTTTCATTATATACCTTTTTTTTAAATGCAAAATATTATTTCATTTTGATGAAATTCAGCATCTGGCGTTGTAATTAATTTGTAAGTTTTTTCTCTTATTCATTTAATAAGTCATCATGGATATTTAGTGAATAAAGTATTTTCGTTTTATTGATTATATGCATATCTATATGTTTTTGCGTTCGATATCAGTAATCAATAAATATTTTTGGTGAAATTACTACCAGATACTCAACACAACATATTACTATACACAAAGTTCTCATTTAGTTTACTCCGGGATACATTGTTTCAAAGAAGCTACAAGTATTTGGTTTCTCGATGTTCAGTACCTATCGAAATCAATGTAGGATACATGAGCCTCAAAGAGATTACACTGTTACAGATATATAATCAACAACTGCTACTATGATATCAATCTGTTTATGATTATTGTTTTGTCAGCATAATGTTACTAATTGAAAGTGAGAGGAAAAATGTAATATAGTTAAAAATCCTTTGTTGGATGATACTGTAATGAGGTCAATTAAGTTCAAGGACACTTTATAATGTAACTTTAACACTCTGTATAATGTCTCAGACAATTTGCGACAGTTAACCTTTGGTTCTACTACAACAGCTACTACTGAATAGCTACAGATCACACGATGCAAAGATATATTACACCTCTATGCATCAACGATCCACCAAAAATAAAGAAGTCTTCCCAACTGAACTCCTGTAACGCTTGCACGTAAACACGTCATTTTGATATGCTTGAACTATTACGAGTTTACTTAGTCAGAAAACCAGAGATCCTAACAACTCCATTTGAAGATATCAGCAGATAGAATTCAGTAAACATTAAATAAACTTTCAGAGTCGTGTATTTGTGTATTTATTGTTGGATAAATGGTTAAAAAATATGGTAAGAGCTTCCTTCATCAAATGCTACTGATTTTTAATTTATTGATGTGTTTACTTCAATATTCTAAACATTTGGTTAGGGAATACATTAGACATGTGCTCAAAAATGATCTGCAAAGTAGCCAGTGACAGTTGATAGGACTTGCTTGGTAATGCCAAGGAACTGGACAAATGATATTGGTCACTACATAGTCAACTATCATTTGTAGATCAGTTTTACATATTATAACAAAATAGATATCTGTAATCCATACTTGAATTAACCAAGAATATAATAATTAGCTTTTATATTAAAGGCCTATTTATTTAGAAACAGTTATTTAAACTCGGAAGAAATTTGTTTACTGTAGGTGATTCACTAATTAGTGATGAACTGAAATATTTTAACAAATAAATTATATTTGTTAACATATTTCCAAACAGTTCAATATTGTGTTGATAAAAGATCAATACCTTTGTCTCACTGTTAAACAATCAATTTAAAGATTTGTTTTATTATCTTATCTTTCAGACCTGATGATCAGTTCCGGTAAGAGATGTTGCGAGTTAGAAATTTGATGAAAAATATGTCGAAATAGTATAGTTTCTCTACTATCTACACTCAGAATAAGTTCTCAAAAATCATTGTATCATTTTCGAAATTATTGACAATCCAGAATATCATAAATTCCCAAATCATCAAACCGTTTGATACTCGTGTGTATAAGAAAAGAAATGAAAATTTCGTTCAGTAATGATCCAGCATTTTCAAGCTGTAATTTACTCAGCTGACTAATATAGTCAAAATAGTATATGCATCAATCGCTTACTGTTATTCTTATCCGATACTTTGTTGTCTGGCATCAGGATTTGATGATCTGTGGTTGTATGTCTCTTATGCCGTTGTTAGTGAATATTTCCTATGAGCGTGTCCGTATCACGTACTTGAGTAAGAACATCAAAGTTGTATAAGAAGCATTAATCGGCTGATCAAATCGAAAACATGCAAAACTCATTTATACATGGCAATACATATTCTTCGTGAAACTATTCCTCATTTTTAACCAGTAGTATATACTTATATATTAAGAAAGTTAAACCAAATCTAGAATAATATAGCTCTCACGTTAGCGTATGTTATCTATGCTTTGATCTATATCTGATTGATCTATAGCACGACGTAGTACTTCCTCTTTACAATCAGACGATAAAGTCGGAAATTGAACACAGTAGACGTTTCTAGAAAGTCACCACAGAATAGGATACCATGAATTTCATAGTATTAATATAGAACAATATAGTGAGAGATTTAAGCAATTTGGAAACTCTATTTAATTTCAAATGGAATATTAGAAACAGAAAGTTCTGAAAACAAACACTCAAGCACTGATATCACCTTTAGACATTCCACATAAAACGAAGAGAATCACAACAATTTGAAATACGGTCAATGAAATAGAATTTTCAGTCATGAAATATCATGAATAAACTGAAGTTAGTTATATGGATCACTAGTTATTACCACGGTTGTTTGCAAGTAAAATTGCACCTACTGCCACACAAATGCTCCAGTATGGCTGAAATTGGAGAGATTCTGCTCCTCCTGACGAAATACTCTCAAAGACACTCGTGCACAGCCACATTTGTGGATGTCATACTCACACTACTTTCTGCTGGCAAATGTGTTGTTTACAAAAGTTTGATGACAAAACGTAGGTTTCCTGTGCTCTAACTGGGTTGTTGGATTCACCTACGAAAGTTTGCAAGCCCAAATAACAAACCGAAGGTGAATATGGGCTTTAGGATGCAGAAGGAAGAAGTGAAGTATGAATCTGTTGTTGGCCACCAGCTACCATGGTGATGCATGTACTAACGTTGCTCCACTGCTCTGTGTATTAAACTTGTAATTTAAAGACAATATGAGTGACCTTCAGAAAACCATCCATTTCAGTGTTGGTAACTCAGTGGAATCGATTGATGATTTCAGTATGCACCAAACACTAATCTCCATAACTGAAATTGAGAAATCCTAAATGATTTATCGAAAGTGTGGTTTATTTCTAATTATTCAGTGAATTTTTAAAGTCGAAAGGAATGTAAGTACTTTGTAGAATTAACACAAATTTGTATGACTTATTTAAGTAATTTCTTATAAACTAATGTATATCCACTTGTGTCATAATGTCCGTATCAAGACAATCCGCATACGATACTCATAATGCAAAAAAGATTGATTGTATTTCTAGTTTATTCTTGTCAATAGAAGTTTAAGCTGATGGTTTTGTGTAAATTTAGCCTCTACAATTCATCAACTGACTCACTGTTAGCCAATCCGTTGATAGTTTTGTTTTATTTTCTTTTCTTTCAGACCTGATGAACAAATACAGTAAGAGATGTTGCAATTTATAAATTTGATGAAAAATATGACGAAATCGTATCGGTTCTCAACTATCTACACTCAAAATAAGTTCTCAAAAATCATTGTACCATTTTTGAATTCATTGACAATCCAGAATATCACAAATTTCCTAATCATCAAATAGCTTGATAGACATGTGTATCAGAAAAGTGATCTAAATTTCGTTCAGTAATGACCCAGTATATTCATTCTGTAATCTGTGGTTGCCTGTCTCTTATGTCGTTGTTAATGAATAGTTCATCTAAGCGTTTATATATCAGCTAATTTAGTAAGAACATCAGAGTTGTATAAGGAAGCATTTATCGACTAACCGAATCGAAAACATCCAAAACTCAAATATACATGCCAATACATATCCTTCGTGAAATTGAATCATATATTTAGCCAGAAGTAGTACTTATTATTGATTAGGAAAGTTAAGCCAAATATTGGATAATATAATGCTCATGTTAGCATCTGCCTTCTATGCTGCGGTGTGTATCTGAATGACGTATTGGATGTGGGATTACATTCTCTTCCCAATCAGACAATAAAGTCAGTAAGTGAATAGAGGAGACGTTTCGAGAAAGTCACCATCGAATAGGATACTATGAATTTCATAGTATTAATACAGACAAATATGCTGAGAGATTTAAACAATTTAGAAACTGTATATCATTTCAAATAGAATATTAGAAACAAAATGTTTTGAAGATGACCATTCAACGACTGATATTACATTAAACATTCCACAAAAAACGAAGAGAATCACAACAATTTGAAATACGGTCATTGAAATAGAATTTTCGGTCATGAAATATCATGAATAAACTGAAGTTAGTTATATGGATCACTAGTTATTTCCTTGGTTGCCTGCAAGTATAAAGGCACCGACTGCCTCCTGAATGCTCCAGTATGGCTGAAATTGGAGAGATTCTGCTCTTCCTAACGAAATACTCTCACAGTCACTCGTGCATAGATACATTTGTGGAGGTCATATTCACACTACTATCTCCTGGCAAATGTGTTGTTTACAAAAGTTTGATGACCAAATGTAGGTGTCCAGTGTTTTAACTGGGTTGTTGGATTCACCTACGAAAGTTGGCTAGCCCTTATAACAAACAGAAGGAGAATATGGGTTTTAGGATGAAGAAGGAAGAAGTGAAGTATGAATCTGTTTTTGGCCACCTGCCACCAGGGAATCGCATTTGCTTACGTTGCTCCACTACTTTGTGTATGCAACTTGTAATTTAAAGACAAGTTGAATGACCCTGAGGAAACCATCCACTTCAGTGTCGGTAACTCAGTGGAATTGTTTGATGATTTCAGTATGCAACAAACACTAATCTGCATAACTGAAATTGAGAAATCCTAAATGTTTTATCGACCATGTGGTATTTTTTCTTGTTATTCAGTAAATACTTAAATTCGAAAGGAATGTAAGTACTTTATAGAATTTTCACATCTTTTAAAATTTGAACGTTTATTTGACTTTTTTCAGTATTTTCTGGAAAACTAATTTATATCCAAATGTATCATAATGTCTGTCTCAAGACAATGCGCACACGATGCTCATAATGCAAACAAGATTGATCATATTTCTAGTTTATTCTTGTCAATAGAAGTTTAAGCTGATGGTTTCGCTTGAATTTAGCATCTACAATTCATCATTTGAATACCATTGTCTCACTGTTGTACAATTGATTGAAAGTTTTGTTTTGTTTTCCTTTCTTTCAGACCTGATGAACAAATACAGTAAGAGATGTTGCAATTTATAAATTTGATGAAAAATATGACGAAATCGTATCGGTTCTCAACTATCTACACTCACAATTAGTTCTCAAAAATCATTCTATCATTTTCGAAATCATTGATAATCCAGAATATTATAAATTTACTAATCATCAACTAGCTTGATAGTCATGTGTATAGGAAAAGTGATCTAAATTTCGTCCAGTAGTGACCCAGTATATTCATTCTGTAATCTGTGGTTGCCTGTCTCTTATGCCGTTGTCAGTGATTAGTTCGTGTAAACGTGTTCATAATATGTACTTGAGTAAGAACATCAAAGTTGGATAAGAATCATCTATTGGCTGATCAAAACGAAAACATCCAAAACTCAATTATACATGCCAATACATATTCTTCATCAAACGGAACCTGATTTTTAACCAGTACTATATACTTATATCTTAAGAAAATTAAGCCAAATCTTGGATAATATAACACTGATGTTAGGGTCTATCATCTATACTCTGGTGAATATCTGAATTAAATATAAGATAGGGGATTACATTCTCTTCCAAATCAGACAGTTAAAACAGCAAGTGAATAGAGGAGACGTTTCTAGAACGTCACCATCGAATAGGATACTACGAATTTCATAATATTATCATAGACTAATATGCTGAGAGATTTAAACAATAAGGAAACTCTATTTCTGTTCAAATGGAATATTAGAAACAGAAGGTTTTGAGGATGATCACTGACGATTGATATCACCTTTAACCTTCCACATAAAACAATGAGAATCACAACATTGTTGAAACCGAAACGATGAGTTTTAGAGTATTATTTCAACAAAGTAGATTAATCTAGGTAACAACATCAAATATTCGCAGAAAATCTGAAAAACAAAGCATTCAGTAAATTTAGTCTGTCTATCAATAACACTTTGATGTAAACGTTGTTTAAAAGAGATAACTTCTCAACCATTATCTCTTTCAAATTGCACAGTCGTAAACAGCATCCACAAAATTTTCATCAAACTATTTAGTTTTCTAATAGTTGTAATCTATTGCAACCCTATAATTTTTAAAATAAATTTAGCGGAAAACAAATAATCCATGACGAGTGAGTTTAGCAATGTCACTTTTAAAATGAAATACTAATTAACTGGCGTATATGACTCTTCAGTTTCTGGAGAATAGTCGCATTGAAAGTATCCATGATTAGAGTTGAGCCAATGAAATTGCTCCTAATATTAACCACTCTGAATAAATAATAATCAATGCAGACAGAGAGATGTTAAATTCCTAACAGTGCGATACTATTCACTAATAGTAGTGAATATCAATCAACATACGAAAAACTAGTTTTCAGGTATACTGAATTCAACTATACTCTCGATAAAACAGTCACACTGAAAATGGATACAATCGACAAATATTGCTGAGTTAGTTTAACAAGACGAACGACGTATCACTCAGATGAGGCGATATCATGTTATTTTGTAGATTTTTCAATCAACAGAAACGCAGAACTTCATACGTACATACGTATGTCGAGAGCTGTAGTTAGGCATCTAAGGATGATCGAGGCTAACAATTTGGAAACTATATAAGTCAGACTTATTCCCCTGTCATTGTCAAAAGAGGACCTTTGTCCTTTAATTTAAATTAGGACGATCTGCGACTGAGACCAGTTGTATGGGATTAGGTCTAGTTCCCATTCTACCTAGGATCTCAGTCGATCTAGCTGTTAAAACTGGACCACCATTCTTGAAAATCTTATGGATTGGTCTATCAGGACCGCTTGCTCTCCCTCACTTCAGAATCCACATCGCTTTCTCAACTTCATAAAGAGTTGGAGGACTCACATCGATTTGCTGTTCAGGATGACTGGAGATTGTGGGTAGACGAAGTGTAGCCGAATGCCAATTGAACTGATCCCTGAAGTGTTTCGCCCGTAGATTCAATCTCCTGGATTGACAATGAATAATAAGTCCATTCTTTTCCGAGATAATCTCACTTACAGTCGGATTCCTGATACCGGTTTCCTTGATGAGTTTGAATAGTAGTCTACTGTTGTCTATCGCCGCTGCCTTCTCCTTCAGTCTTGCTTTCGCAACCAACCACTGTTCTCGATCATTGCGTGACTATCTACCAAGATTCAGTCTCAGAGAGCTTGTTCTACCACAGGACATTCATCTTCCTACATAAGCGAGGCAATGGGAAGCAGCATCAGGAATACCCAACACACGAAGCGTAAACCGTGTTGTTTCTTTATCTGGACTAGGTGAAATCGAATCGACGATTTTACTCGGATCGTGTATGCGCGTTTCGGGAACGCAACGTACATCGATCATCCAGGAATCTACAGTTCTAATCAATGAAGCCTGTTGCCCTGTTTGTCACAAGGTTCGAACATTGAAAGCTCCAATATGTAATTTAGTACAGGGTTTCAGGAGACCTGTAATAATGTTTCGTGAGCTCAAACCGTTTGCATAACCGGAGCAAGGTGACAGACAACAGACGGAAGTATTGTTGGAGAAGATAAGAGAGTAATTAAGAGGTGTTGAAAGCTTTGATTGTGACCAATTCGATGTCATATGTTTTTATGTGTATGTTTCGTTGAAAATGTTGTTAGGTTTTATTGAAATTTATTCACTTAGTGAACTTAATATTAAAACTTAAGTGAAAGCATTCGAGAATCATTTACTCATCAATGCTTGTCATTGAATATGTCAAACTTGTAAGAAAGAACTTAACTATAAGCTAGACATGAATCATAATAAAAGGTTGTTATTTATTCTTGTATCAAGAGGATAATTACCTGTGATCTGATGACGAAAATTACTCTTTGAAATTATGTCAAATATTAAAAACAAGTGGTGTATTCCTTGCCGTTTTAAACAAATGATGTATAACTTTACCAGTAAATATAAATAACTCTGCAAATTTCAATGATTACAAGTCAACTTACTTACTTGCTTACTTACACCAGTTACCCATAATGGAGCATAGGCGGCCGATCAGTTTCCTCCAACCAACTCTGTCCTAGGGCTCCCTTTCCAGTTCTCTCCGATAATTGTATCCTCTGGATGAAGGTTTTCGTAGTTCTCCAACGTCCTGCTCCATACAGTAGGTCTGTCTTGACATTTGTATTGAAAATCCTGATCTTGGTGTTAACTGACATTTGTTTGGAGTTCCAGATGTTGTTCACTTGTAGAGATGTAGCCCTTGCTCGGTCGATCCGCGCCATCACATCTGCATTGGATCTACCTTTCTCGTCGATGATGCTGCCAAGATATGTAAAGGTGTTAACTCTATCTAACGTATCTACATCAAAAGTGATTTTGTTGTTGAATGTTTTGTTATATTACAGAATCATGCTTTTCCATTTATGTCTGTTGAGACCTGTTGCTGCTAAGGCTGCCGCTAAACTGTTCGTCTTCTCCTGCATTTGTTGTTGCTTATGCAATAGAAGAGCCAGGTCATCTGCGAAGTCCAGATTGTCCAGCTGCATCCTAGCTGTTCATTGATTACAAGTCAAAATAGATAATATAAAACACGCACTATTTTGAAACGCAAATGTATATTGTTCAAACAAGTGACATTAGACACAATTAAATTTCCATTATAATTCAAAGCATCTTAACTAGTCTGGTTGAATTTGACTTTGTTCAATTATTTAGTGAATACCTAAAGTCGATGGAAATGTAAGTTTTATTTTGGAAGAATATATTTATCTTCTGAGGATATAATTTTACGAAATACAATAATTTTCTTTTTTACTTCAGACTAATTTATTATTTGGTTTTCAATGCAAATTAAATGTTCAAATATAAATAACTAGTTTGTACCTTATTCCATTTGATTTCATTTACTTAGCTACAATATCAATCGTCATACATATTGCCCAATAAACAGTTCAGAAGTAGTAGCATCTGTCACAGACTAAACATTATTGACGAGTGTAGTGTTTTCACGTGAATTTGTTCTGTTATGTATGAAAGCATCTAGAGAGAAAATCATTCTCACCTTAATTTAAACTAATAAGCTGAGAGATTTAAACAATAAGGAAACTCTATTTCTGTTCAAATGGAATATTAGAAACAGAAGCATCTGAAGATGATCACTCAACGACTGATATCACCCTAAACATTCCACATAAAACGATGAGAATCACAACATTGTTGAAACCGAAACGATGAGTTTTAGAGTATTATTTCAACAAAGTAGATTAATCTAGGTAACAACATCAAATATTCGCAAAGAATCTGAACAACAATGCATTCAGTAAATTTCGTCTGTCTATCAATGCCAATTTGATGTAAACGTTGTTCAAAAGAGATAATTTCTCAACGTTTGTCTTTTTCAAATTGTGTAGTCATTAACAGTGTCTACAAGGGTATTGATCATATATTTCGTGTTCGATAATTTTAAGAATCTTTCTAATGAATCTCATCCAATCCCATCTAATGTGAATATGTTGAATTCTCTGAATTATTTTTATCTTTTATGTTGAGACTTAATAAATTTGGTAGTTGAAAAATGTTTCACTTTTTCATTAAAATAATGCGTTTTTAAACTTTTGTCATTTACATTAGAAATTCTTGATGTTAAGCAAAATGGTCATAGAAAATTTGATTATGTTACAATGTATATTGGGTTTGTAGGTATATAAAATCCAAACTGGAATCGTTGAAGTAGGTGTTTGTTTGTTTGTTAAAATTGTTTTGTTAACTAATCAATTAACAATCGCAAATACAGTCATTGAAATGGAATTTTCGATCGAAATATAACAAGAATGGAGTAAAGTTAGTTATATGGATCACTAGTTATTTCCTTGGTTGTTTGAAAGTAAAAGTGCACCTACTGCCTCCCGAATGCTCCAGTATGGCTGAAATTGGAGAGATTCTGCTCATTCTCAGAAATGCTCTCACAGTCACTCGTGCATTGCTACATTTGTGGAGGTCATATTCACACTACTATCTCCTGGCAAATGTGTTGTTTACAAATGTTAGATGAAAAAACGTAGGTGTCCAGTGTTTTAACTGGGTTGTTGGATTCACCTAGGAAAGTTTGCAAGCCCAAATAAAAAAAACCAATGGTGGACATGGGCTTTAGGATGCAGAAGGAAGAAGTGAATTTTGAACCTGTTGTTGGCCACCAGCTAACATGGAATCGCATTTGCTTACGTTGCTCCACTGCTCTGTGTATTAAACTTGTAATTTAAAGACAAGTTGAATGACCCTAAGGAAACCATCCACTTCCGTGTAAGTAACTCAGTGGAATTGTTTGATGTTTTCAACATGCACCAAACACTAATCTGCATAACTGGAATTGAGGAATCCTAAATGTTTTATCGAATATGTGGTCTTTTTTCTTATTATTCAGTGAATATTTAAAGTCGAAAGGAATGTAAGTACTTTGTAGAACTTACACATCTTTTAAAATTTGAACATTTGTATGACTTATTTAAGTAATTTCTTTTGAACTAATTTATATCCACTTGTGTCATAATATCTGTATCAAGACCATCCGCATACGATGCTCATAATGCAACCAAGGTTGATCATATTTCTAGTTTATTCTTGTCAGAAGTTTAAGCTGATGGTTTTGTGTAAATTTAGCCTCTAGAATTCATCAACTGACTACCATGTATACATACATTCGATTTTTTCACTGAATATTGTAACATGTTCCACTGATTGTTAAAGCAATGATGAGATCTGCGGCGGCGATGAAACGCAAAAGGGGAATTATAGTATAACTGAACATCAATAAGAACATCAGATATTCACAGTGAATCTGAAAAACAAATCATTCAGTAAATTTAGTCTGTCTATCAATAACACCATGATGTAGACGTAGTTTTCAAGAGATAACTTCTCAACGTTTGTCTCTTTGAAACTGGACAGTCGTAAACAGCGTCCACCAAGTATTCATCATATGTGTCAAACTATTTAGTATTTTGTAAGCTCTAAACTAATGCAACCCTTTATTTTTCAAAACAAATTTAGTGGCAAACAAATCACCGATGAAGAGTGAGTTGATCTATGTAACTTTTAAAATGAAATGATAAGCTAACTAGTGTATACGATGTTGCAGTTTCTGGAAAATAATTCAATATTGTTCCAAATGATCTATTCGAAGATCATGGTTTGCGCAGATGTAAGATGTGGAAATATCCAGAGTGAGAGTATTATTATAAGGAGCCAATGAGCAAATGAAATCGATCCTAATAACAACCGCTCTGAATAAATATTATCAATGCAGACAGAGAGATGTTAAATTCCTAACAGTGCGATACTATTCACTAATAGTAGTGAATATCAATCAACATACGAAAAACTAGTTTTCAGGTATACTGAATTCAACTATACTCTCGATAAAACAGTCACACTGAAAATGGATACAATCGACAAATATTGCTGAGTTAGTTTAACAAGACGAACGACGTATCACTCAGATGAGGCGATATCATGTTATTTTGTAGATTTTTCAATCAACAGAAACGCAGAACTTCATACGTACATACGTATGTCGAGAGCTGTAGTTAGGCATCTAAGGATGATCGAGGCTAACAATTTGGAAACTATATAAGTCAGACTTATTCCCCTGTCATTGTCAAAAGAGGACCTTTGTCCTTTAATTTAAATTAGGACGATCTGCGACTGAGACCAGTTGTATGGGATTACGTCCAGTTCCCATATTCTACCTAATATCTCAGTCGATCTAGCTGTTAAAACTGGACCACCATTCTTGAAAATCTCAGGGATTGGTCTATCAGGACACGTTGATCACCCTCACTTCAGAATTCACATCGCTTTCTCAACTTCATAAAGAGTTGGAAGAGTTACATCGATTTGCTATTGAGGATGACTGGAGATTGTGGGTAACCGAAGTGTGGCTGAATGCCAATTGAACTTACCCCTGAAGTGTTTTGCCCATCGATCCAATCTTCTGGATTGAGAATGAATGATAATTCCATTCTTTTCCGAGATAATCTCACTTACAGTCGGATTCCTAATACCGGTTTTCTTGATGAGTTTGAATAGTAGTCTACTCTTGACTGTCACCGCTGCCTTCTCCTTCTCTCTTGCTTTCGCAACCAACCACTGTTCTCGATCATTGCGTATCCTTTTGTCAGTCTGCGCTTAAGCTGAACTTGCTTTTGTCATGTTCAGAGACAGACGGGATGAGCTTTGGAGCAGCCATCAGTTCGGTGGATGCTGTTGTGATCCACTGCTATTCCGTAACCTTACGGTTTACTTTACTAGCAGATATCACTGCTGTTTCCACAGCTTTGTTGATATGAATCCTAGTTGACTCAGACTGGGCATCATTTACTACATAGCCGCCTAACTGTTATTCTAGTTGATCCTGATATATTTTCTTAGCATTATTGTCATTGAGTAGAGCCCTAAGAGGTTTCCTTGCTGTGACTTTCTTACGTCCAGTATGGCTCAAACAAATACGTGGTCGCCCTTCAATATTGTCTGAATCTAAACAACTACTCCAAAATGAGCGGCAGTCTCCTACTGAGCCTCTCCACCAATGGCCTATAGCGATGTGATCTAGTTGGGTAGATGGTTTGGTTGGCTTCCGGGATCACTAGGTCAGAAGTTGGTTTTACTTATTCCTGAAGTTAGTGTTTGCTAGTAATAGGCGATTATCTGAGCATAGCTACAGCAGCCGGTCGCCATTTTCTGTTCTCTTAGTCACGGTACCATAAAATCCACACAGGTGTCTTTCTTTTCACTTAGTCTACCTACTTGAGCATTGATGTAACTAGACATTATTACTACATAAGGGCGCTTAATATTTCGGAACAGTTTATAGAGGTTTCTGTAAAACTCATCCTTCACCTCGTCTGTACTGCAGTAAGTGGGAGCGTAGCAGATACGATGATGAGACAAAGACGAGTTTCTTTATCTTAACGAGTCCTTACTGTCCCTTCTAGTTGGACTGCAAACAAGATACTATCTACCAAGATCTAGTCTCAGAGAGCTTGTTCTACCACAGGACATTCATCTTCCTACATAAGCGAGGCAATGGGAAGCAGCATCAGGAATACCCAACACACGAAGCGTAAACCGTGTTGTTTCTTTATCTGGACTAGGTGAAATCGAATCGACGATTTTACTCGGATCGTGTATGCGCGTTTCGGGAACGCAACGTACATCGATCATCCAGGAATCTACAGTTCTAATCAATGAAGCCTGTTGCCCTGTTTGTCACAAGGTTCGAACATTGAAAGCTCCAATATGTAATTTAGTACAGGGTTTCAGGAGACCTGTAATAATGTTTCGTGAGCTCAAACCGTTTGCATAACCGGAGCAAGGTGACAGACAACAGACGGAAGTATTGTTGGAGAAGATAAGAGAGTAATTAAGAGGTGTTGAAAGCTTTGATTGTGACCAATTCGATGTCATATGTTTTTATGTGTATGTTTCGTTGAAAATGTTGTTAGGTTTTATTGAAATTTATTCACTTAGTGAACTTAATATTAAAACTTAAGTGAAAGCATTCGAGAATCATTTACTCATCAATGCTTGTCATTGAATATGTCAAACTTGTAAGAAAGAACTTAACTATAAGCTAGACATGAATCATAATAAAAGGTTGTTATTTATTCTTGTATCAAGAGGATAATTACCTGTGATCTGATGACGAAAATTACTCTTTGAAATTATGTCAAATATTAAAAACAAGTGGTGTATTCCTTGCCGTTTTAAACAAATGATGTATAACTTTACCAGTAAATATAAATAACTCTGCAAATTTCAATGATTACAAGTCAACTTACTTACTTGCTTACTTACACCAGTTACCCATAATGGAGCATAGGCGGCCGATCAGTTTCCTCCAACCAACTCTGTCCTAGGGCTCCCTTTCCAGTTCTCTCCGATAATTGTATCCTCTGGATGAAGGTTTTCGTAGTTCTCCAACGTCCTGCTCCATACAGTAGGTCTGTCTTGACATTTGTATTGAAAATCCTGATCTTGGTGTTAACTGACATTTGTTTGGAGTTCCAGATGTTGTTCACTTGTAGAGATGTAGCCCTTGCTCGGTCGATCCGCGCCATCACATCTGCATTGGATCTACCTTTCTCGTCGATGATGCTGCCAAGATATGTAAAGGTGTTAAATCGATCAAACGTATCTACATCAAAAGTGATTTTGTTGTTGAATGTTTTGTTATATTGCAGAATCATGCTTTTCCATATATGTCTGTTGAGGCCTGTTGTTGCTGAGGCTGCCGCTACACTGGTCGTGGTGTTTATACTTGATTTGCAATAAACCTAGCCCTTTAAAAACCAGTTATTTTCAACTTTATCAAAAAATGTAAATAACTTTGCAAATTTCAATGATTACAAGTCAAAATAGATAGTATATAACACGCACTATTTTGATGCCCATTTGTATAATATTCGAACAAATGATGGTGTCAACAATCAAAGTGACTTTAGACACAATCAAATTTCCATCGCAATTCAAAGCATCTTAGCTAGTGTAATTACATTTGACTTTGTTCAATTATTTAGTAAATATAGAAAAACGCTGGAAATGTAAGTTTTATTTTGGAAGAATATATTTATCTTCTGAAGATAATATTTTAGACTAATTTAATATTTGATTTTCAATGCGAATTAAATGTTCAAATATAAATAATTAGTTTATAACTTGTTCAATTTGATTTCATTTACTTAGCTGCGATACCGAATTTCATACATCTCTCTTAATAACAAGTTTCGAAGTAGTAGGATCTGTCACAGACTAAACATTATTGACGAGTGTAGTGTTTTCACTTGAATTTGTTCTGTTAAAAACGTATGTATGAAAGCATCTAGTGAGAAAATCATTCTCATCTTAATTCAGACTAATAAGCTGAGAGATTTAAACAATAAGGAATATTAGAAACAGAAACTTCTGAAGATGATCACTCAACGACTGATATCACCTTCAACATTCCACATAAAACGATGAGAATCACAACATTGTTGATACTGAAACTATGAATTTTAGAATTTTACTTCAATAAAGTAACTGATTCTCGGTAAGAACATGAAATGTTCTCAATGATTCCGAACAAAAAGTCGTTAACTGAATTTAGCCTGTCTATCAATAACAGTTTGAAGTAAAAGTAGTTTTAGAAAGATGATTCTTCAACCTTTGTCCATTTCACATGGCACAGTCGTAAACAGCGTCCACAAAGCATTGATCATATATTTCCAGTTTGATAATTTTACGAATCTTTCTAATGAATCTCATCCAATCCCATCTAATGTGAATATGTTGAATTTTCTGAATTATTTTTATCTTTTATTTTGAGACTTAATAAATTTGATATTTGATAAATGTTTGATTTTTTCATCAAACTTTTGTCATTTTTATAATAATTTTCGATAAGAAACAAAATGGTCATAGAATATTTTATTATGTTGTAATGTAAATTTGGTTTGTAGTTATTTAAGGCCAAAACTGGATTCGTTGAAGTAGGTGTTTGTTTGTTAAAATTGATTTGTCAACTAATCAATTAATCAAACATCTTACACAGTAACATGTAGTGAATGTTCAATATCACAAAACATTTTAATTCAAATACTGCTGAACATTCACAACTCTCACCAAAACATTCAAATAGGGAATTTGTAAAAATGCTATTTAACATTGTATCTACTTTTGATATTGAATAATTTACTCTTGATGTAGTCGATGAAAGACGATTATACTGTAGTGACCTCACATATATTTGAATTTGCTTTGGCAAATATTAAACATACGGAACACTTCACGAAACATACTTAAATTCACTCGCATATTCAAGTCGAATTGTTAACAGAATTTCTGTAAGGTAACTGTAAATACAGTAAGAAGTAGATTGTCGAAATATGGTTGATTTTAAATCAATTTTGCATGCTTATGGTCGATGTTGAGCTTTTCAATGGTAGTGTTGGCCATTATCAATTTACGAATTCATTCAGTGAATCACGAAAACGTTTCTATCGACTGTGCTACTTTACAGATTTGTTATTACCAAGAAAAAACTTTTCCTCAATACTTAACAACATCTATAAAGAATGTGATGTAAATACACACTATTTAAGCCAACTGTAGTTGTACACCTAAATTTCCAATTTGAAATACAGTCGTTGAAATGGAATTTTTGGTAAAGATATATCATAAATGAACTGAAGTTAGTTATATGGATCACTAATTATTTCCTCGGTTGTTTGGTAGTAAAAGTGCACCTACTGCCTCCCGAATGCTCCAGTATGGCTGAAAGTGGAGAGATTCTGCTCCTCCTCACGAAATGCTCTCACAGTTATTCGTGCATTGCTACATTTGAGGAGGTCATATTCAAACTACTATCACGTGGCAAATGTGTTGTTTACAAAAGTTAGATGACAAAACGTAGGTGTCCTATGTTTTAACTGGGTTGTTGGATTCACCTACGAATGTTTGCAAGCCCTAATAACCAACCGATGGTTGACATGGGCTTTAGGATGCAGAAGGAATGAGTGAAGTATGAACCTGTTTTTGGCCACCAGCTACCATGGAGATGCATGTACTAACGTTGCTCCACTGCTCTGTGTATTAAACTTGTAATTTAAAGACAAGTTGAATGACACTGAGGAAACCATCCACTTCAGTGTCGGTAACTCAGTGGAATCGATTGATGATTTCAATATGCAACAAACACTAATCTGCAAAACTCTAATTGAGAAATCCTAAATGTGTTTCTTTTCTGATTATTCAGTAAATACTTAAAGTCGAAAGGAGTGTAAGTACTTTTTAGAATTTACACATCTTTTTAAATTTGAACATTTGTTTGACTTATTTCAGTAATTTCTAGTAAACTAACTTATATCCACTTGTATCATCATGTCTGTATCAAGACAATCCGCTTACGATGCTCATAATGTAACCAAGATTGATCACATTTCTATCAGAAATATTAACAACGGGACGATTCAAACAATTTCATTAGGAATAAAATCATATTGAAGTTGTTTTGTTCAACACATTGAATTGAATTAATCAATTCTGTCTATCAATAACACTATGATATATACGTCGTTTTCAGAAGATAACTTCTCAATCTTTGTCTCTTTTAAATTGCACAATCGTAAATAGTGTCCACAAAGTATTCATCATCAAGCTATTTAGTTATCTGAAAGTTGTAATCTATTACACCGCTTAATTTTTTTTTAATAAATTTAGTAACAAACAATTCACCGAAGAGGAGTGAGTTTAACTATGTAACTTTCAAAATGAAAGGCTAAGCTAACTGGTGTATATGGTGTTGCAGTTTCTGGAGAATAATTCAATATTTTTACAAATGATCTATTCGAAGATCATGGTTCGCGCAGATGTCAGATGTGCAAATATCCAGTGTGAGAGTATTATTCTAAGGAGCCAATGAGCAAATGAAATCGCTCCTAATAATAACCGCTCTGAATAAATATTATCAATGCAGATAGAGAGAGGTGAAATTGCTGACAATGCGATACTGTTTCAGTAGTAGTAGTAGCAGTAGTAGTGACTATTATTTAACCTACGAACAACTAGCTGTCATGTATACTGAAATGGTAGCGAAAAGTAATTTCAAGGAGAGAAGATAGACGAACAAATATTATCAAAATAGAAAAAAGAGTCGAACAAAATACTTTTATTCTGAAAATGTGAAAATACTTGTTGTAGCCACGTTAACAATGTTCTCATCGGAATGATCATACACTCTCAACCAAATGTATTTCAATCCTAGATTCACGATTTAAATGAGTGATTTCATTTCTTTAGTGTTTAGGTTTTTCAGTTATTTATTTTATATGAAAGAAAGGTAGTTTGTAGTTGAAATACTCTTGTCACACAGCAAACAGTTTATGCAGGCAGAGGATATATATAGTCCACAAAATCACTAGTCAGACAACACTCCCATTCGTCAAATCGTTGAGAAGGTCAGTCACAATAATCTATTAATATTCATCAAAATGTGCACAGCAATATTTACATTAAAAATGAGGAGTAAACCAGATATGACTAAACTGGAAAGTGAACAGCGATTATGCAATACAGTGTGCAACATATAGAAGTCATATTTTGCTGCTCTGTGTATTTCGACAATAAATAACCAAGTAAATACATCGATATACTTTTGAATTTTCTTTATCAATCTAATCGGTTTTACCTTATATTTACGGCTTAACAAGATTCTACGGAATGCTATTTGACAAGTAAGTTTATGACATATCTTCCTGTGACTAACTGTATAGTTTGAAAGTAAAATGATTAGTTTCAGCCTACTTCAGTGTCGTAGTATTGTATAATTTAAGAACTGGATCGTTTAAGTCAAACATGAGCGAACCATGAATGCATAGATCTTGTGTTTACCTTGATACTGTTGAGCTAATGGGTTCGAATAGTTTTATAATCTAAATAAACAGACTCAGTAATGTGAATTTTGTGCATATGGTTTAGAGCGAATCAACATATAGAAGATAAGTGAGTTTATTCAATGTGGGTTACATAAACTCACAATCCAGGATTCACTTTTAATAAGGTGTTTAATAAAATAAGTATGAGTATGTTTCATTTATAAAAGAACAATTGATTAGCCTGTAAAAGTTGCAAAAGACTAATGGTTTTTCTGATGCGATTATGTTCTGATCTAGTTCAACACATGAAGGTGGTTATGTAAATAAGTTCCTTTAAAAGCTGCCGTTTGTGGTATGAAATCAACACCAGTGTTTATAATATTATAGTAAAAATAAGAAAATGTTCAACAAATAACGATACGGTCAGATAAGTATTGAAATGAACTGAACCAAAAGCGATCAATGTTGGCTGATCATTAATTGAAGTGATTAGTATGTCCATCAGACAAATCAACAGCGACAAAGTAGCGGGACCAGATAACATTCCAGCCGAGACAACTAAAGCAGACGTGGTAGCGACTACAAAAATACTCCACATTATCTTCAGCAGGATTTGAGATGAAGAACCTGTTCCATCATACTGGAAAGAAGGATATCTGATAAAAATACCAAAGAAAGGTGATCTCAGCAAGTATGAGGACTACAGACGGATACCTCCTCTGTCAATACCAGGGAAAGTCTTCAACGGGGTGTTGTTAAACAGAATGGAGGACTCTGTAGACGACTGACTTAACTGAACCTAACACGTTGCAAAAAGCACTCAACTTCATCACAAGTCAAGCCCTCATTTGGAACCCTCAGCGTCATAGAAAGAGTTACACATTACGCCAAGAGATGGTCAAAAAACATCAAAAAAGTGAACAGAAATTGGAAAAAACTGGAAACGGAAGTGAAAGTTATAGCATGTTGGAGAATACTGGTTGGAGGCCTACGCTCCATTTGGGGTAACGGGTGTAAGTGATTAAGTATAGTAAAAGCAGTCTGCTAACTCAGAGTTGTTTTTAAAAAATAATTATGTATTTACCGTAAGTAATAAGACCATTGTTGAAAATCATAGGGACAGCGATATCCACATAATCCACAAGTAAGTGAGAAACTTCTAATGTAAATTGAATATCAACTTTTGGAGAGACGAGATTTTTCATTACTTCACTGAAATTCTATACAAACACTACATAAAGAGTCAATTTAAGCCAACTCAGTGAGATCGAAATATAAAATATCAGTGAGACCACTTACTCACACAGTGTTTCATATAACGATGCCATATTTTGATTTGAGAATGTATAGCTTTCTTCTTGCCTTATTCTACACCAAACAACATAGCCTATAGAGGCCATTGATGGCAGAGCGTACGTAATACCCATATTAACCATCTCAGTTGACGGAGGTTCGTTACCTCATCAACCGATCTAATATCTTCTCATGGCAATCTAGGTCTAAACTCAAATTTAAACATTCACTAGTTCAAACCTACACAAGCAATGCATCGAAAGCATGAATAATGGAAAATTATTAAGTTAAGGTTATTCATTATTATAACAGTTCCTGTTATGTAACGATGTGGTTGGACTAAAGTATCATCGATCTTTAATTGACAAACGGGCATTTTTAATAAACGCGACGCGCGTTCCGAATCCTTATTGAGATATTATACAACATCACTGCATAACAGCCGATAAGATCTCCAAATAAAGTGGAACGGTTATCGTCCATATTATTCGCAACACGTATCGTTGATTGAGAGGATCATTTAAACAAACAATTGAGCAAGGAAGAAAAGGAATAAAAATTCAACAGTATGAATGAAGCAATTCAATGGTATAAATAAAATAAGAATCCTAAAGAAGCAAGTCAGTAACGATCGCATGGAAACTTCATTATGAGGTTTTGAAGATTGTTAGATTATTCGTTGAAATCATGATCAAATAATCGTGTATAAAATTCAGTATATTTGTTTATTGTGTATGGGCAGTTTCGCTGAATGTAGAAGAACGGTTATTCATGAACATGATAGTTACTGTGGCGAAACGATGTGGCAGGAAAAAAAAATTCAGATCAGTGATATAGATCTTTGGTTGACAGATGGACATTTTTAATAAATGACAACAGGCTTCCCGAATCCATATTCAGATATAAAAAAACATTACTGCATAAATTCCGAAGAAATGTCAGAAATAAATTGGAGTGATTAGCGCACTAATTCACCGGGACGCGTGTCATAAATTCAGTAGATGAATTAAATAAACACATTAGACCATGCAGAAAAAGGAAATAAACTTATTAAAGGTGCGTAAAAAAATTAAAAGGTTGACTAAATTATATTATTTTATTGCTACAGTAAGCCAACTACACAACCAGTCAAAAAGTGAGTGAACCGTTGATTGTCTATTGTAAATTAGCTCCTAGACATTATTATTATTATTATTATTATTATTATTATTATTATTATTATTATTATTATTATTATTATTGAATTAAACGATTCAACTTATCAAGGCTGATGTATGTAATGTAATTGGGCAGTCAGTGAATAAATCCCATGTGCTCATCTATTGTATATGGGCAGTTTAGATGAATGTAGAAGAACGTGATTTATTCCGTTCAATTATTTCTATTGTGTGTGAGCGCGCACAACAGTTCCAAAGAGAATGAAAGCAAATTCAGTGATGCAGACTGTTGTCATTCAACAGTGTGTGAGTATTTCCAAAGTGAAAGTGACACGAACTATTTGCACAAGTTGCTTATCCACAATGATTTCACCTGGTCGTCTCAAACTACTGCATGTTGTTTCTCCTATACAGTGAGGATGACGAATACCATGTGAAGAAAGCAGTGAAACATCTATCGTCTATCCTCGAGTTGTTTTATACGTTAATGTGAAAAATGTTTGACATTGACTTGGACAAATCATGCGTGTCTTCTAGACCGATCTTATTGCTTGCTTCTTCGTCTCGTAATGATTACGTTTCATGTTACTGAACACTTTGTTTCGTTGCTCTTATCCAGAGACAACCAGACACATCACACACAGAAGTGAGTGAACCATGCATGTATTATGGATTTTGAATTGTTGTAAGCATTACTGAATATGTGTGCCATATGCATATTGAAAGATTGAAAGTGGACTTCATTGTAAGATAACTTTCGCTGAATAATGAGATAAAGAAAGTATTGACTATAAGTGAATGACTGTGACAAATTGTTATGATAGTCATGAAATATCCTAGAGAAATTACTTCTAGGTATAATTTTACTGGTCAATGCCTACTAGTCAATATTTAAGGTCGTCCTAAACAATAAAGATCACATACTTTTAATTGTTCATTCGTATTTGTTAGTATTCATGATCGACCTAACTGTATAAGAGTGTTTTGTCTATTAAATTTTATGCTCCTCTTCTCCTAATGTAGAACAGCTCGACTTTCTGTGTGCTTGTTGGATACACTTTCTACGCCATATCGAAACATTTTGATACCGTTGGCAGGGCCCTGGGACGCTCCGATTAGAGTAGACCATCTTGTCAATGGATCACATGTCTTAGCACTCGTTTACCGGTAAAGGTGAACTCGTAATAGTTCAAGCATATCAACTGACGAGTCATAACACAAATTCAAGTAGAATTTGGAAGGTGCGCAACTTCGGTTAAGTGTTTGAAGTCATCAAATATGATGTTTGTTTTCTGTGTGCTTAGAATCGACCAGTAGTGTTCGAGTAAACAACCTTCAAGAGGTTTACATAAATCATATTATTCTGTTGCTACAGGAACCCTACTACACAACCAGTCAAAAAGTGAGTGAACCGTTGATTGTCTATTGTAAATTAGCTCCTAGACATTATTATTATTATTATTATTATTATTATTATTATTATTATTATTGGATTAAATGATTCAACTTATCAAGACTGATGCATGTAATGTAATTGGGCAATCAGTGAATAAATTGCATGTGCTCATCTATTGTATATGATAAATTCAGAAGAATGTAGAAGAACGTGATTCAACCCGTTCAATTATTTCTATTGTGTGTGAGCGCGCACGACAGTTCCAAAGAGAATGAAAGCGAATTCAGTGATGCAGACTGTTGTCATTCAACACTGTGTGAGTATTTCCAAAGTGAAAGTGACACGAACTACTTGCACAAGTTACTTACTTACTCACTTACGCCTGTTACCCCCAATGGAGCATAGGCCGCCCACCAGTTTCCTCCAACCAACTCTGTCCTTGGCTTCTATCTCCAGTTATGTCCGATGTTTGTTCATTCCTCTCATATCTTTCTCTATTTCTCGGCGTAATGTGTTCCTTGGCGTTCGGCTTTTTCTTCTGCCTTGAAGGTTCCAAGTGAGGGCTTGTCTCGTAAGGCAGTTGAGTGCTTTTCGTAGTGTGTGTCCTATCCACTGCCACCGCTTATTCCTGATTTCCTCCTCCACTGGAATCTGGTTTGTTCTCTCTCACAGTACGTTGCTGCTGATCGTGTCTGGCCAACGAATACGAAGTATTTTGCGTAGACAGCTGTTAATAAACACTTGTATCTTCTGGATGATGGCTTTGGTAGTTCTCTATGTTTCCGCTCCATACAGTAGAACTGTCTTGACATTTGTATTGAAAATCCTGATTTCGGTGTTGATTGATATTTGTTTTGAGTTCCAGATGTCGTTCAATTGTGGAAATGCAGCCCTTGCTTTGACGATCCTCGCCATCACATTTGCAGTGTATCCACCTTGGTTGTCGATGATGCTGCCCAGATATAGAAAGGTGGTAACGTCCTCCAAGACATCTCCATCAAAAGTGATTTGGTTGTTGCATGTTGTGTTGCATCGGAGAATTTCGCTTTTTCCTTTTTGTATGTTGAGACCTGCTGCTGCAGAGGCTGCTGCTACACTGGTTGTCTTCTCTTGCATTTGTTGTTGCGTGTGCGTTAGGAGAGCCAGGTCATCTGCGAAGTCCAGATCGTCCAGCTGCATCCTAGCTGTCCTTTGAATATCGTGCCTACCTCCAGATGCTGACCTCTTCATAATCCAGTCGATCACCAGGAGTAAGAGAAAGTGTGAGAGCAATCAACCTTGCCTGACAGCGGACTTCACCCCGAAAGAGTCTATTACCTGTCCTTCGTGTACTGTTTTGCAGTTTAATCCATCATAAGAATTCCGTATGATGTTAACTATTTTCTCAGGCACACCGTAGTGTCGAAGAATCCTCCACAGTGTTTTCCTATCCACGCTATCGAATGCCTTCTTGTAATCGATGAAGTTGATGTAGAGTGGGGAGTTTCATTCAACCGATTGCCCCACAATGATCCGTAATGTAGCAATTCGGTCAGTACACGATCGATCCTTACGAAATCCAGCCTGTTGATCTCGAAGTTGGGCGTCTACGAAGTCCTTCATTCTGTTTAACAATACCCTGTTGAAGACTTTGCCTGGTATTGAAAGAAGAGTGATGCCTCTGTAGTTCTCACACTTGCTGAGATCGCCTTTCTTTGGTATTTTGATAAGGTATCCTTCTTTCCAATCTGATGGTACTTGTTCCTCATCCCAAATCTTCTTGAAGAGGATGTGAAATATTTTCGCAGTTGCTTCTACATCTGCTTTCATTGCCTCTGCTGGAATGTTGTCTGGTCCTGCTGCTTTGCCGCTCTTGATTTGTCTGATGGCCATACTGATCTCCTCAATCGTAGGTGCGCCAATATTAATTGAGAGATCCGTGGATGCCGCTTCGATGTTGGGTGTGTTCCGTGGAGCCGGTCGATTCAATAGTTCCTTAAAGTGTTCTACCACCCTATTTCGCTGTTGTTCAGTGTCGCTGATTACTTTAATTTCCTTGCTTTACACTGGTCGTTCTGGTTTACGATAGTTCCCGGCGAGCTTCTTTGTTGTTTCGTACAATTGTCTCAAGTTTCCGTCTTTTGCAGCCTTTCCCGCCATCATCGCTAGATCTTCCACATATTTTCGTTTGTCAGCTCTGATGCTCTTCTTCACTTTCCTGTTTGCTTTTGTGTATTCAGCTTGTGCCTTAACTTTCTCTTCTCTTGTTTGCCTTACATTAATTGCTGCCTGCTTGTTCCTCCGCTCTTCAATTTTTGCAAGAGTACCAACAAACATTCAATCCTTGTGATGGTTCTTCTTGTGACCCAGAACTTCGTGACATGTTGAAGTGATTGCCTCCTTGATCCCTTTCCAATTGTTCTCCAGTGTTGCTTCTTCTCCATGGAGTATATCGTGCAAGGCCTGGAACCTATTGCTGAGGGTCATCTTGAATTCGTTGAGTTTTACGGTATCCCGAAGAAAGGCCGCATTAAACTTGTGTGATGTTGTCTGTCCCATTATCCAGTGTTTCTTTAGTTTCAGTTTCATTTTGGCGATTAGCAAATGGTGATCTGAGGCTAAGTCAGCTCCACTCTTGGTTCTCACATCCTCCATAGTCCTTCTGAACGTTTTGTTGATACAGATATGGTCAATTTGGTTGTGAGTAGTGTGGTCCGGTGAAATCCATGTGGCTTTGTGAATGCGTTTGTGTGGGAATATTGTGCCACCGATGACCAGTTTGTCGAAGGCACATAGGTTTGCAAATCTCTCACCGTTTTTGTTCCTTTCTCCCAGTCCATGTCGTCCCATGATGCCTTCATATTCAGTCTTGTCCATTCCAACCTTGGCATTCAGGTCTCCCATAAGAATCGTCAAATCCTTTGGTGAACATTTCTCGACGATTGACTGCAGCCTTTCGTAGAATTGATCTTTAATGTCGTCATTGTAGTCATTGGTAGGTGAATAACATTGGATGACGTTCATTGTAATGTCCTTTTTCTTTGTTTTGAAGGATGCTTTAATAATCCTGTGTCCATGAGATTCCCATCCTATCAGTGCCTTTTTTGCATGTTTGGACATCATCAGTGCAACTCCTTGTGTATGTGGAGCATTTTCCTCTTCATGACCAGAGTATGACAGCAGTTCCCCTGAAGCTAGTCTCAGTTGTCCTACCTGTGTCCAATGCGTTTCACTGATGCCAATCACCTCGAGGTCGTATATTTTCATTTCTGCCGCAACTTGAAATAGTCTCCCAGTCTCTCACAATGTTCGAATGTTCTATGTACCATAAAGAATGGTTGCTCTGGTTGTCAGAAGAGGCATCGTCCCTGTGACTTCCGAAGGAACTCGGCTTTCACCACGCGACGTCATAATTCTTCTTCCATATCCCAGGGGAGAGGTAAGATGGTTTGAATTATTTTCTCCGGTTAGCGTTTTTTTGACAAGTTAGTTTTTGATGGAATGGGGTCGCCAACCCCATGTCTAACCCTCTTCCTTTATCCGGGCTTGGGACCGGCAATAGCCACGAAGGTTCTACTGGCAGAGGTACTTGTACAATTTGCTTATCCACAATGATCTCACCTGGTCGTCTCAAACTACTGCATGTTGTTTCTCCTATACAGTGAGGATGACTATGAGTTTTTTTAAAGATTATTGAATAAAATATTTGAAATTGACTCAAACAAATCATGTGTGTTTTCTAGACCGATCTTATTGCTTGCTTCTTCGTTTCGTAATGATTACATTTCATGTTACTGAACACTTTGTTTCGTTGCTCTTATACAGAGACGATCACAAAGAACAAGAAAAAAAGTGAGTGAAATATCTTTATTTTGGATTTATTTCATGGACCGATCAGTTGACCTTGGAATCACATTTCCCACCAGGAAAATCCTTGGCTGTGATTGGTTACTGTATGATTTTAGTGTGCTACTTTTTTGTGAGTGTCCCAAGGACTTCTCTATGGAGTATAAGTAAACGCAATTTGAGTGCTTGAACTGATTGTGTGCTGGTTGGGTGTTTGTAGAATACAAATTCTACGCAATATCAACACTTCTCGCTGATACAATTCGCTCAAGGGATCACAGTAACCTACCTGTACTCTGGTTCATTGTTTTGTTCTCGTTAGTCGACTAAGGTGAACTCGTAATAGTTTAAGCATACTTAGAGACGAGCGTAACAATCTGGCGACGGCATTTCGACAAACGATCTAGTGAATGATGATGGATGCAGCTAAATTAGATAAATTGTTTGCACAACAGCTGAAATTGATGGAGGTACGTACTCAGACGCGCAGATCATCTCATGTCTCATCTTCACCGACAATCCCTCAGTCAGTCGATGGTATGGTCAGTGGTATTTCAATGTTTCTTCATGATCCTGACGCCAATATTAGATTTTATACTTGGTTTAGGCGCTAAGAAGGCCTTTTAAGAGTTGATTTTTCTGACAGAGATGATTCCTGGAAGGCGTTTCTTCTCTTTAGAAAACTTGGTCCGTCAGAACTGGACTAGTATTCTATCCTACCGCAGAACCCACTTGACCGTTCATTCCATGCTACTGTTCAGTCCCTCAGCAAACCTTTTGTTGATCAGCACTCTTTTCAACACTCGTCACCGCTGCTTAAAACTGGTCATGAATGCTAGTTTTTATTGCAGTCAGTAAAGTATTTGGGATTCATCTTTGATGCCGACGGTCGCAGACCTGATCCTGAGAACATCCGAGCTATCAAACTGATGCCCACTCCCACTAATGTCTCGGAATTACAAATCTTTTCTCGGATTAATCATTTATTATTCAGCTTTTGTTCCCTCGATGCGCGATATTCGCGCTCCATTGAACTTTCTACTGCAGAAGCATAGCACACGGAACTAGGCGAAAGAGTGTGACGAGGCTTTTGGTAAACTCAAGTCCATAATTAGCTCAGAATTGTTATTAACACACTACGATCCATCCATACCAATCATCGTTGCAGCAGACGCTTGAGCATATGGCCTAGGTGCTGTTATTTCACATCAGTTTCCAGACGGGTCAGAAAAAGCCGTTATGCATGCATCCCGTACACTAACCTCAGCAGAAAAGAAGTACAGCCACATAGAGAAAGAGGCTCTTGCTCTTGTGTTTGCTGTTCGCCGTTTCCCTAAGTTTCTGTACGGTCGGAGATTCGCGCTCCTCACAGATCATAAGCCTCTGTTAGCAGTATTCGGTTCTAAATCTGGCATTCCAGCCCATTCTACAAATCGTCTTCAGCGATGGGCCTTGGTAATTTCGGGGTATGATTTCGAAATCCAATATCGACGCACTCAACAATTCGGTCAAGCAGACGCTTTGTCACGACCCATTATTGATCAAGTGGGGGCCGAGCAAAACGTGGAAGTGGCAAATCTGTCAGAGGAAGACCACGTGTAATGTTATCTGACGACCTCAATACGGGCATCGACGATGTCTGCAACAGACATACAAAACGCTTCTAGGAAAGACCCCATCATCAAGATGACGATGAAATATGTCACTAACTGTTGGCCGTCGAAGAAGTTTGACGGTGACAGAAAACAGATGTATCAGCGGCGGGATTCCCTATGCATCGTAAACGACTGTTTGATGTTTGGAGGAATAGTGGTTGTGCCAGAATCCTTTCGGGAAAAAGTGCTGAGACAGTTCCACTTTGATCATCCGGGCGTTAGACGAATGAAATCCATAGCCAGGAGTTATGCAAACTGGCCTCACATGGATCAATATGAAACAGTGTTAGTTGAAAAATGTATGCGGTGTCAGCAAGCGTCAAAGATGAATGCCAAAGTTCCGCCGGTTTTATGGCCCAAACCTGATCATCCTTGGTCCAGGATACACGTTGACTTCGCTGGTTCAATCAATCGAAATATGTATCTAGTTGTGGTGGATGCCTTCTGAAAGTGGCCAGAAATCAGCCCCGTAATGCCGCCCACGACAAATAGGACAATACAGCTCCTAACCGAAATTTCCTCTCGAAATCGCATATCAGATGTGATTGTATCTGACAATGGGTCTCAATTTACCTCCGAAAAATTCCAAACTTTCTGCCAACGGCTAGCCATTAGGCACTTAAGCTAGCCACCATACAACCCACAATCCAATGGGCAAGTGGAAAGGTTTGTTGATATCTTTAAAAAAACATTGGTTAAGTCAAAATGGGAGCGAACGTCAGCCGACGCGTTATAAAATTTCTTGTATGTTTATCGAACAATACCAAATGAGTTGTTACCGGAGCAAAAGTCACCAACAGAAATCCTGATGGGAAGAAGACGGAAAACGATCCAGAGCATGACGCATCCAACTAATGCACTAGCATCAGTAGAGACAAAGCATCAAAGGAAATCCTATTACGAGGTGGGACACCTTGTGTTCGCATGTGGCTGACTACAGAACAAATCATGGTCCCCGGGTAGAAGCGCGAGTGATAAGAAGAGTTGAGCGAATTATATACGAAGTAGAGGTCGGAGGCGAAAGGTGGTAACGCCATCGAGACCAGATAAACGAACGGCTAGCTCCAGACCGTCCATCAAGATCAGAAAATCTTCCCCTTCTACCTACTACCAGCCCTACCCCACGAGAAGAAACTCAGACACAAGCTGATCTCCGTTCCCGAAGGTATCATCCCAGTCAACAACAACAACAATCAAGATGCAAGTAGAACCAGGAGCGCACGCTATCAAAAAGGGGAGAAGTGTTGGTGATGTTAGATCACCAGGACTCGCTTGATAAATATCTTTATTTTGGAAAGTTCAAGCATATCAATCGACGAGTTATAACACAAATTCAAGTAGAATTTGGAAGGTGCGCAACCTCGGTTAAGTATTTGAAGTCATCAAATATGATGATAGTTTGCTGTGTGTTTAGACTCGACCAGTAGTGTTCGAGTAAACAACCTTCAAGAGGTTTACATAAATCATCTTATTCTGTTGCTACAGGAACCCTACTACACAACCAGTCAAAAAGTGAGTGAATCGTTGATTGTCTATTGTAAATTAGCTCCTAGACATTATTATTATTATTACTATTATTATTATTATTAATATTATCATTATTATTGAATTAAATGATTCAACTTATCAAGGCTGATGTATGTAATGTAATTGGGCAGTCGGTGAATAAATTCCATGTACTCAGCTATTGTATATGATCAATTCAGAAGAATGTAGAAGAACGTGATTCAACCAGTTCAATTATTTCTATTGTGTGTGAGCGCGCACAACAGTTCCAAAGAGAATGAAAGCAAATTCAGTGATGCAGACTGTTGTCATTCAACACTGTGTGAGTATTTTCATAGAGAAAGTGACACGAACTATTTGCACAAGTTTCTTATCCACAATGATCTCACCTGGTTGTCTCAAACTACTGTATGTTGTTTCCCCTCTACAGTGAGGATGACGCTGAGTTGTTTTAAAGATTATTGAATAAAATGTTTGACATTGACTTGGACAAATCATGCGTGTCTTCTATACCGATCTTATTGCTTGCTTCTATATTTCGTAATGATTACGTTTGATTTTACTGAACATTTTGTTTCGTTTCTCTCATCCAGAGATGATCACAAAGAACACCAACAAAGGTGAGTGACTTATGTATTATCAATTTTGAATTGTTGTAAGCATTACTGAATATGCGTGCCACAGGCATATCGAAAAATTGAGATCTGAATTCCTTTAATTGAATAATGAGATAAAGAAGGTGTTACCTGTAAGTGAATGTCTGTAACAAATTGAAATGGAATTCGGAAGTCGTGCATCTTCCACTATGTGTTTGAAGTCATCAAATTGGATGATAGCTCGCTTTGTGCTGTGAGTCGATCAGGAGTGTTCATGTAATGATCTTTCATATAGTTTTTATAAATGAAGGATGAAACGGTGTGATCTTTTCACTATGGGATTCTTTCAGGAGTAGATATCGCAATTCTAAGCTTTACCCAATACAACAAATCTCAATATTATTGAATCAAAAACAGCAAGGCCTAATAAATTGTAATAGATGAACTTCATTCCACAATATGCAATCGACCAACCATAGTCTACTCCCAAAATATTGCAACTTATCCATAAAACATTCAATCGAAGTTTTTATCAATAGTTGTAAAGTACAAGTTTTTGAGAAGATTCTTTGCAAATGTCCTTAAAATTTACTGTTAAACTATATATTATTTGATGGAGAGTCTAGTGATAAAAACCATGAAAGGTATATAACCAAACGAACTGAACATCAATAACAGTATATCATGAGGCAACATTGCGAAAATTAAATATTTCTCATATAGGAGAACTATAAATAACAAACGCTTTTATTTATGCAACACCAAATTTATCTTGTCTATTATCAAATATAAAATTAACTGGTTTCTTTCATTCAGTTCAACAATTGAACGTAGATTGCCAAAGTGAGTGAATTGTCTGTTGTCACTTATTTATTTACCTTATCATTAATGTTTATATGTTAATGTCCTTTAAATTGATGTTCCAACAATCTTGGAATAAAACACAAAAACATCAACTTCCGATTGTAGTAACACATTGAACGCTGAATGAGACTTACATCCTGAACCAAAATTCTCATTTATTCAACTGCCATAAATATACACATCAATGATAACCAGGAAAACAACCTAAACTCCACTGATTGCAGAAGTTGTAGGATGTTGATTGATTTGCGTAGTTGTCATCAAAACATGTTCGAACCAAAGAACACGTAATATTGACGAAGCAAAATTAAACTAAATCAAACAGGAGTCTGATGTTCCAGCATCAAATCATTTATACCTCCTTGAGTAAATGTTCATCGCGATACAAATGAAATGTAAAAGATAATTTTTCATGATAAGATCATTTAGGCATATATAAGAGAGCAATATATTATCTCGCCTATATAAATTCAAACTCGGAAAGATGAGTTTGTGACATTATAAAATTCCTTGAATTGTGTTGTTCACTGCTTAGCCGGGTATCGGTCACTGCATCAATTCTTTTTACCAGTTGTAGTGCATTCGGGAAATAATTCATATACATTTAAGCAGTTAATTAAAGGTTACTGCAAAAGTAGCGAATGACCAGAGATATCCGATGACGAATCATAGTCACAAATTGTAAACGTGAGGTAACTTTAGATTGGACACGAAGTCTTTCAAGCTTCACTCACTTCACCGTTCAATATCTTGAATTGTGCTGTTGTCTTTTCTTGCTATATAAAATCATCTTATTTTCTTGTGTCTATTCAAAGGCGAAATAACAATGAAACATTAGTTGGGTTAGTCAATTTCATTTTAAGATTGTTCAGATTGTTTAATTTAGTAATGCTGTCTGTAACTTCTCAGTGTTCAACTTCCATTTACGTATGTAAACTCATAATATGGCTTGCAGGTATGAAAATCTGAAATGAATTTGCAAATATTGTCCAATGTTAGAAGTGCGATTCATTTGACAACTTCAGATGATTCAAATAAAATTCCCAGTCGAATCGTGACAAATACGTCAATAAGTGTGTACTGAAGAAAGAAGATTGGTTAGCTACCATGCGTGAGATGACTAAGCTTCTAAGAAAGACAGCTCACTACATCACTGACTTTTTAATTGTAATTTACAAGGACCTAATCATCTTGAAACGAAAGTATAAACAACACATTTTTCTGAATGATCATCAGTTAGTTCAATATTCACTTTATTTAACCTCATGTGGTTTCTAATAGACTTCATAAAATTGTCGGTCTATTGTATACCTTCATTCATTTAGCTCAACTCAGTGTGAACAAAGAAGAGTTCTAAAAAGACTGAATACAGATACTGTAATAAAGACTTTCGTCATTCAACTATGTGTGAGCTGCTCAAATTGAGAGTGACATAAATTACATGCACGGGTTGCTTCACTACAATTAATATTCTTGCAGCTATTACGAGTTCACCTAACTTGGCACACGAAAGCGAAGCAATTATATAGTGACACGATAAGCTATTCTGGTTTGATTGATACCTGCCCTTCTAAATATAGCAAGATGTCCTGATAAAGCCTAGAAAGTGTGTTATACAAGCACCTAGAAAATACGAGGTTGACAAGCACATAAATCGAGCTTATTTAAACACGATATAAACGTCCTTGGGGGAGCCGCAAAAATAGCATACTAAAATAATACATCAACCAAATGGCAGTCAGGGATTATCCGAATGGGAAATGTAATCTCAAGGTCATCTGATCAACCAGTGCGCAAAAAAACTAAAAAAAAAAACTAAAAATCTTTTTTCAAGTGAGTTCTGAGGATCTAACGTCCCCACCAACAATGTTCTCACCTAATCGTGTCAAAGTGCCCTGTCTTTCTTCCCCGTTATAGTGAGAACGCTACGCTTTGTTCTTTGAAATGACTGAATATTCTATCGTCCCTTCTCAGATTGTTTTATTCATCCACTGATTCAAGTCGAGTAACAGTATGTGTTGGTTGGGCTTTCACTACAAATCTTTTGAATATGTTATGCAACAAAAATTTTGTTTCATCCATTTCTTATAGACCGTTTTCGTTATCTAATATGTGAGTCATAGTGCAAGTAATTAAATCAATTATATGACATGTTTTTCTGCTACTGATTATGAAATTTGAGTAACGAAATTCGTGTTTGAATTCGATTCCATAATGAAGTAATTGTTCTGCTGCATACAGTAATCATATAGGTATTTTTCATTTCTTGTTCATCGATTACAATTTATCATGGACAATGTACAAAAATTCTCTTTATATTGATTTGGTGAATATTGACGCTTAAGGTGGAAGGGATGTTCTGGAGACCATAATAATCTGTAGATGATAATCACCATTAATTTATTCAAGTTGAAGTACCTATGAAAACGAATGATAATTGGGAAACTGCTTCGTCCTGGCGTTGAGTTTTTCAACGATGCACTCTAAACATACGATCCGTTAGGATTAGTCTTTTCTGTGAATTTGTGGCAATATTACTACAAGTTAAGCATCTGACGGTACACAACCGTTTTGTTGAAATACTACATTCAACAACAATAAAACAGCAGAATGACATGTCATTAGAAATTAAATGCAATAGCATTATAGTTAGTTTCATAACCATTCAGTCAGCTGAACTACTGAAACTTACTCTGAATTTGTTGCACAAAAACGTCATTCATTGCTGCATTCCAAATGAACAGGCACAGAGAAACTACACACATTAAACCTTGGATTACACAGGAACTATACACGGAACGTAAGGCTTTCACAGATATAGTCGAAACCAGCTAAATCACAAAACCGCTATATCGAAATACACTGACAATCTAGATTTTGACATTCCAGGATAAAATAAAATTATACAATGTCATTATAACCTATCATTTTCACAAACTTACATAATTTGCTCATCAAAACAATCATACTGAAATGTATATGACAATGAAATAGTGAATGCTGTCATGACCAGTTTGTACATGTCATTTCTTATTGATCAGTCTGTTGCCATTACAACATTTCAATAAACACCAGTTGTCAGTTAGACACCACACCATAACGACCTTATTCTCTTCAGGTTTAAACAGACAGGATCATACATTTTATCAAACCAAAACTCTGAAATACTTGAACTGGAATGATTTAAAACATTCACAATACGATCGACCATCTGACCATCATTCAAAATACGTACAAAGTATTAAGTGTTTTTCTGATGTACAAATTGTAAACGTTGAAGACAGATTCACCTCCTTCTTCAGTTTGCACATTCAATTATTACATTGTTTAATACAGAATATTTTTTAAAATAGAATATCTCAATCACTGAAAATTGATCTTCCATCATTTTATTCCAAATAGTTTGTTCTTCAACAAACCCTTGTAAGTTGAACAATAATTTGGTCTTTCCTATCAGTACCTATTGTGGGAGGTTTATTTAAATCAACTTCTGCTGTTTTGAAATTCAGGTCATTTGATACGATTAAAAAATTACATCGAATAATGTCCATGGAAGTCTTGATTTTCTGATTACACTCGATACACATCCTTGTACATGATTCTTTGTAATTGTGCTTGATTGATGAAGTTAGTTTCCAGATAATTAGTCTGTTGTTTCAGTAGTACATAAGGAAACCGACATTTCCACTCCTCATTTCTACTTTGAATTATTCAACTTGTTGCTAATACTTAGATAGTTCTTTCCACAATCCGAAACTCGGTAAATGATGCATATTTCACATTCTCTTACCATTCAGTGTTCCCTTGTGGATAATAAAGTAAGTCTGTCATTGTAGTTTCTATAGTAGTTTGATAGTGAAAGTATTTTAAACAACGTTTTGTGGATCAGTTTCTGCAATAAATAATTTATGAAATCAATTTTAGAGAATCAGATAATAACAGATATCAAATGATTCATTCATGTTTCAGCTTCTTTCTCATTTTCAAACAATAAGTAATTGTAGTGGCTCATATATAAGTGTAATAATGACGTCACATTACCTTAAAATTAACTTGGATTTTAGGCTTCACAAGATCTTTAAACATTTAGGAAACCTATTTAAGAAGAGAACCGAACTATATTTTAGTGGAATATTCAACCATAAAATGTCGATCGCACATTAGCATTATATAATAAAAATAGTTCTATGACCACTTATACTCACCTTCAGATATGCCGCTGATTTTGCTTAAAGTTCCATCAATCTTATTGTATGTAAGTTTGATATAAGTTGACAGTAATAGCTAGAACATATGAAAAAGCATGTTTTTGTTATCGATAGAACTACTACTACTTAGATCTGTTTATCAGTAGCCCTCAAAATGTACGGTGTATTTCCATTTATACTTTTTATGTATTTTAATCAGCCCCACATACTACTTTGTTGAGTAAGTTTACTGTTCTATTCCTCAGTCACACAGTTATTAATCTGATATCATATAAAATGGAAAATATTTCCATCCAAGTGTTCAAGTTTTATTTGTATAGTACTATATCCAATAAGATTTGTTAATTCTTTTCTTGCAACATCAATAATAGTTCCTCATTATATTATATGTATATATTTCTGTTATAGGAAGTTCTTCCAAATTTTGGGACGTAAGTTTTGACTGTGATGAATGATTACGTAATTCTTAGAAAGTGGAAATGTTGATGATTGTCTTCAAACTGAATATTAAGTTGCGTTTGTCTACATTTAACTCAAAACTTATATGACCTCTACACTATTAAGAAACTTTTTCCTGAAAATAGTTACGAGTAGGATGACAAAACAGATAAACTTTTGAAAGCTATCCTTCATCAAAGTAATTAATATACCTAAGTAATTGTTGTACTTGATTGAATAGGTCAGCATATAATCCATGATTGTGTATAAAGTTCATTGCAAATTAAAATAGTCACTAAATTAATGGGAATTTCTACTCATTCAAGAAACCTGATCTCACAAGACAATTACTAATCAGCGTCTGGATCTTGTTTTCCATGCAGACAAGGTTTCACAATAAATCCTCAACCATAAATAGTTACATTTTGAACATATAAGTCGTGATTGGTAGACTCTCTCGGAAAGTGTCACGTTTTGGAAATAAAATTTATGATTTGGTTACACTTTCACAGTATATCAAATGTTGCATAATCATAACAACTTATGTCAATATTGTTTAAAGGTTGAACAGTCATCATTATTGTTTTGACATGAACATCAAAACTGGGATTTAGATATGCCTAGCTGGATTAGCCGTACATAGAATAAATACATATCTTGAACGATACAGATTGCCATTATATAAAAACTTAATTAACTGTGATGAGAAATGAGTTAGTTGTTTTTAATATTAAAACAAGCTAAATTTGATTATTTTGTTCATTTATTATTTTTACACTTTGAAATCATTAATCGATAAATGTTAGACAACCATTATAAACCTGGGAGCACTGGACGGCCGTTTCATCCTGGTACGGAACTCATTAGCAGTGCAAATCCACGACTCCTGCACCTCTCAGGATTCGAACCCAGGACAAATGGGTGAAGTCAGAGTTAGACATTAACACCGTCGGGTGCCGGCCCATTTGTGCAGGTGTTGGGCGTTTGCGTGCAAAACCCAACGTCATGGATTCGAATCCTGCGATATGCAGGAGTCATGGATGCGCACTGCTGATGACTCCCATACCAGGACGAAACGGCCGTCCAGTCCTTCCATATTCCTAATGGTGGTCTAAAAATGATTGATTGATGACTTCAGTGTGTAAAAGAACTAATCTCTATAACTCTAATTGAAAATTATTTGTTATTATACTAGATTTACTAGATGATAACTATGCTGAACTCGAGGCACCAACACACTATTACGATGCTTCAATATGAGAATATTTTTCATCTGTTAACAAAAGTACATTATAAAGTCAACAATCGAATCGGAAAACTGAAATAATCATTCACATAACTCAATCATTTTTCGATTTAACACATTTTGTATTGTTTGCATAAAATTTTAAATAAAAAATTGAACGAACAAAGTACTTTTTTATGTATTTGAGAATTTCAGTAATTCAGATAATTTAAAACAACTAGGAAGTTAATGATAATATTAATCAAGATTCAATTTTCAAACAAACAACTAACATTTACAATGATCAAGAGTTATGCATAAACCATAACTATCACAAACCAACTGAATGAGATATTTATCTTGTTCATGATGAATTAAATGATACTTTTGATTTTCACTATTTAATTTCATCTATTTTAAGCATTCTTAAGTATTCTGTTTCAGTTTGATTGCGTGTGGTTTCTTGAACAAACTGAGTGTTCGATTACCTATCGAAGTTGATGTAAGATTTATTTATAGTCAGTCAATTTTGAACTAAATGAATCCGAGTTCCAACTGGAAGTTATCGCATAGTGATATTTCACGAGAATATAGGATAGAATGTAAAAATGTTGTGATCAAAATTTACACATAAATTTCGATAAGTCGGCTTAGTCAAAGCAAGATCTGAGATCCTATGCGCTTCTAATAACCCTATAGTAAATCTGCACTGCAACTTGAACACGAGAGGAAAGACACAAAATAGGAGATGAACACTTTACTCGACGGTTTGTATATGCACAGAGAAGTGAAGTTAGTAATAGAGTTATTCATGTACTTGTGCTTCTAGAAAGTTCGAGGAACACACGAAATATAGCATCGGTATGGCTAAATATACAAACAGAATCGTAGCACGTGATCCTACATTTTCAAAATGTTTCTGTGAAGGTTCTTTTCAATAGTGATTGAATGAGATGTTTCCTGGCGTTTCTGGTCCCTACAGGCATTTTTCAAGGATAAGTCGGAACTGTTCAACAAATTTCTGTAATCTAATTTCCTCTTAAGGAAAAGTATTATTTTTTGACAATCTTAAGACACTGATATAAAATAAAAGTACTAGATATTGATACAAGATATTAAACATTGAAAATACCACAGTATTAAAGGATCGTATATTAAGCGTTGAGATTAAAGCTAATAATCCTCAACGGTTTGATTATTAACAAACTATTATAACACATGTGATTCCCTTCACAAATTCGAACAAAGAAATAATCATAGTGTAGTGAACGAGAACACAGGTGGGGCAACCGAATTGTATTTAACGGAAATTACAGAGTTACTCAGTAAAATTGGAAAACCATATCGTAAATCGTTAATTTGCAAAATAACAGTTCATCATATCGAACTGGACTGTTCTTGTTGCAAAACATCAATCCATTGTCACTATTCATGCGTTTCATACAAATTCCATTGTTTTCTAACCCTTCCTTTCTTGATCTTCCCCCATCTTCGGCTGCCAGACATTACGTTGACGCTCACGTCATATACTACTTATAAGTAGCTCACACCACAATAGTACTTAATGAATACGATTCATTTTATTTTTTGTTCTTGTTTCAGGAAATCAATAATTGTGTTTATTTACAAATAATCCTAAATTCATATCTTATAACTAACTGTAAACGACATTAATTTGAATGTATAACTACAAAAGCTGATGAAAACTAACTCAGAAATACACAAACTTCTTTCTTATATCTAAATATTAAGATGATACAAAAATGCTCTAAAGTTGGATATTGTTTCAAAACATTTCACAAAGCTTCTGTTATTATGAAACTCCATAAAATAAATGACAGTAATAGTATTAGTAGTAGTAACATTAGTAGTATATGGAAGAGATGATTAGACTCAAGCAAGTGATAATTAGGTTTTTTGAATTAAATTCGAAAATAAACAACATTTATATACTTTCATGTAGCACGAAAAGTACAAATATCATCGTGTAGTACTTAACAAGTTAAACATCAAAATGTATAATTACATTTTCTTCTATTGTATGATAATAGTAGAGTTAAACATATCAAGTGCTCATTTCCTGCTAGTTAGCACTTACAAAACTTACAAACAGTCCCTATTACACAAGCCGAACCATAAACCATCAATCGTGACCTCAGCCTTCAGTCCTTAACCGTGACTGGCTAGAACTTCGTTGTGCTCATTTCAGTTAATCCGTAAACTATACTCGTATATCAGTCGATTTGAAGTGACCTTATGCATTAGTAATTGTATATACTTTACAAATAAATATTTATGAGATTATTACAATTCTTAAAATGTTATGTAAAGAAAATTAATCTACAGATTCTATGTATACAGCCATAAAAATGATTACATCTGATTGCCCCAATCGTAGCTGCTACCTTGACGTGGTGGTAGGGCTTGCCTATCGTGAAAACCCAACCGAGTCATATTAGATGGAACATACGTTATTGCAGGTTCTAACATGCCAGGCAAGTCAATTGGTAAATGGTGAGGCTAAAAGCAGCAACTCAAGGTCTGAAGGTGAAGTCGTACTGCAGACTGTAAAGGTGTGATAGCAGTACGGTGTTTCCCTCGAACAACGAGCATCCGCAGCGATGCTGTCTTCTCACAAAGAAAGAAGGGGTTAGAAAACATCGACTCTAACAATGTCACACTTCACCTTACCTCATGGATTTCCGTCTCCGACGGTAAGGCCACTTGAAGACCACTATTAATCCAACTTCATTTTCAGGTTTCTCAAGAAGTGACATCCACCCTCATACCCGTAACACAACAAGAGACCGAATCGGTCACAATAAAACATATATATATATATAAATATATTATATATATATATATATATATATATATATATATATATATATATATATATTTCAATTGTCAGAATGAAGGAATAAAAGATGATGACGAGTATAAGTGATGGCTACTCACAAGACCGGAATATTGGCGAAGAGATGTGAAGGGTTTGAAATCAAAGACATGACCTTAAATCAGAAGAATATTTTTACCACAAGGAGTAACAAGACAAAATATCTCAGCGGCTGCAAGAAATTAGTCTGTAGTTTATTTACTCTTCGATCAATTAAAAACTGATTGTGAGATCTGATTCGCGTTCATTATATCAGCTTGGTAACAGTCAACCCGAAATGTTAATCTTCGAATAGGGTTCTTAGGAGAATAGAGAAGAATATTGCATATAAATTGGTTTTCTAGAAATTCAAATATAACAGTTTAAAAATTAACTAAAATTCAGGTTAGACTTTCTTCATAGATCAAGATAATGCATATTTTTTTGCTAACAGTTGTCTTATTTGAATTAGAAGTGAATGTAATAGTCAGTGAAAATATTTTCTCTCATTGACTAGTCAGTAAATGAACAGAGTTCCTAACACTCATATATTGTTTGAATCTATTCATTTATGTAAAGCTCCAGATATGATACAATGAGTAGGATATATGACAAGTGTACATAGCATAGTTCCTGATACCATAATAATCAATAAAACTTTCTTCTAACTTAGTGTAGCTAAATTAGGTTTCTATTATAAAAATTTTGTGTATCAGTATGGGAACTGAACACCACACAATACGGCATTCACTTTGAAATGGACGTTTTTTTATCTTCTTCTATAGTGAATAAAATATTATCTGTGATTTAATTCTGTTTGGGACGTTAGACCCCCAGAACTCACTTGATAAAGGTCCTAATTTTTGATTTTGTGTTTTCGCGCATTGGCTGATCAGTTGACCTTGAGATTACATTCCACATCCAGAAAATCCTTGACTGTCATTGTTTGATGCATTATTTTAGTACGCTATTCTTGTGGCTCTCTCAAGGACGTTTCTATCATGTATAAATAAACTTGATTTTCTAGGTCCTTGTAAAATACACTTTCTACATCTTATCAAGACTTCTCGATATAGTTATCAGGGCCTGGGAGAACGGATTAGAATAGCCTACTGTGTCACTGGATCATTTGTCTTGGCTCTCGTTTACCGAGTAAGGTGAACTTGTAATACCATTCAAGCATATCAGTTTCAAAGTAGTATTCTTTGGAATTTGGAGATTTATCCACGAAAACAATGTAACATACAGATAAATTTACGATATCTGTTGAATGATAATAAATGTATGCCTATGAGAAAATATTTCCTTGATTCATAAATAAAAAAAATGAATTTTAATAAAAAGTTCATAATCTCTGATAAATAACATCAATTTTGATAATGTTCCCCCCCTTATAGCATAAAGAGAAATTTAATGTTTTTGAAGTTAAAAAAATGAGTTCAGATTATGTAGGGTTCGTCACTAGGTACGCTTGCAGATATTACGAGTTCACCTTAGTTAATAAACGCGAACGAGACAATTACCAGCATCCAGATAGGCTACCTTGAACCCCAAGCTGAAGATAGAAGACTTTATAAGCGTAAAAGTATATTCTACAGACACCCAGCAATGACAATACAATCAAGGGTACAACTCTCGTTGATTTATACATCATAGAAATCCTTGGGACAGTCATAAAAATAACACACTAAAATACACAGCAGCCAATCACAACCAAGGATTTTCGTGATGGGAAATGAAATCTCAAGGTCAACTGATCAGCCCATGGTGGTAAACGTGAAATCCAAAATAAGGCATTTAACGAGCGAGTTTTGGGGATCCAACATCCCCAACAGATTATTCATTCAGAGACGTTATATACACCTTGAAAAACTATTTTCAACTAAAATCAGCTCTTATCATATACTGGTCAAGTTTGTTTGTTTTTCTAATTTTAAACTCCAAAGGATATATATATATATATATATATATATATATATATATATATATATATATATATATATATATATATAATCATTGTATGGTAAGGTAAAAAAGCATTTAAACTTGTTTTAGATGAGAAACTCTAGAATAAATTAACAATGACAAATTATTTGTTGGCGCTTAAATATTCACAAAGAACCAACTTTCAATTATTCTACAATAACAACACAATACAATAAAAAAAGAATGTGATATTTTCAATTGTATTTACAAATCAAAGTATATATTTATATTATTGTTGGCAAATTTTATACAAACCATATAATTTAATAATGAAAATTTAAAATATTATATCAAAAATATTTAGATTCATTGACAATTTACATAAATGTATAATTTTTTTTTTTCATCTTTTCTATTTTGGTTTTGGTTTTGTTAATTTTTTACATTGTTATAATCATGATGAGTAGAGATGGGAATGTGATTGTTTGTTTTCATATACAATTCATTAGTTACCCAAATATGATCTAAATCATAGACAGGCGGAATTATTGGGACTTGTTTCAATAGGTTGACTGATTTTGATGAATTTGACTTAGTCAATTGTTGATCTATGATATAATTACTATCAGTTGCATTTCGTGCATATGTTGAACATGAATCTGAAAAACAACATGTAGATTGTTAAAAATATTAGAAATTTTGATAAAATTTTGTTTTATGAGTGGAACATTTTAATCGTAAAGCTTTCATTGCCTTTCTGGACAATTTAAGTGAGTTTTATCCAGATTTCTCCTAACATAACCAACATACTGTCTTATATCGACCTCAATCTTGACTGGTAGTTGTTGACCTTCCCATTCTGTCCTCACTTATACATCGATTTTGGTTGTCATCTATATTGAACTTCATTTTTAATATTATAATAAACCATAATTTTTCTGATTGGTTGAAATATTGGGTCGATTTGACTATCTCTTCAATTAATCCAGATATTGGTGATTCCATTTACGTGCCTTAGGTAGATTGGTAGACTACAACATTGAATCGGAAATATGTTACCAGGCATAAGTTTATAAGTTCTAATAAACTTTCACGTTGACAAAGCTTCAGAGTTAGAGATTATTAGGACTTGTGCTTGATAATACATTTTCAATTCAATTATATTTATGGTTAACTATAAGGTCAGAAATTATGTCAAAAGAGCTGATATTTAAACAAGGACAGAACGAAGGTCAACAACAACCAGTCAAGGTTAAAATCGATAAGACATTGTGTTGGCTATGTGAGGAGAAATCCGGATTACTCACTCATATTGTCCAGAAAGGCAATGAAAAGTTTACGATTTGACTAACCAGCTCAGATGATGAAGCTGCACTAAAATAAATCTATGTTTAATTCACTAAAAATTATTTGAATAAAATTCATTAGTACACTGTGTTGTAAAGCAAAGCTTTAAAAACCAGGAACGCAATCCGAAAAGTCATTAAATATTCGATTTGTTAGCCGATCAACCAATGACCAAATCTAAGTACCATTTTAGTCACAAAATATATTTGTTGGGGCACAGTTTTGGAGGTTTTGCGTTTTTACACATTTGAAATCATTAATCAATCATCATTGTTAGACCACCATTAGAAACCTGGAAGCACTGGACGGCCGTTTCGTCCTAGTATGGGACTCCTCAGCAGTGCGCATCCACGACTCCTGCTCCTCGCAGGATTCGAACCCGGGACCTTTGGCATTGTAGGCGAACGCCTTACCATCGGACCACTGGGCCGGCATCTAACGGTGTTAATGTCTAACTCTGATTGATCTAGGGATTTTTTGCGCGACCTCACCCATTTGTCTTTGGTAGTTACTGCCTACACCCGACAGGGTTGAACTCCACTGGTCACGTCTTCTCAACTAGAACTCCGAGAATTTCCTCACGAAGCTAGTCACTAGTGAGCACTGTTACATTATATTGGGGCACAGTTTTGGAGGTTTTGCGTTTTTACACATTTGAAATCATTAATCAATCATCATGATGATTTTAAATGTGTAAAAACGCAAAACCTCCAAAACTGTGCCCCAATATAATGTAACAGTGCTCACTAGTGACTAGCTTCGTGAGGAAATTCTCGGAGTTCTAGTTGAGAAGACGTGACCAGTGGAGTTCAACCCTGTCGGGTGTAGGCAGTAACTACCAAAGACAAATGGGTGAGGTCGCGCAAAAAATCCCTAGATCAATCAGAGTTAGACATTAACACCGTTAGATGCCGGCCCAGTGGTCCGATGGTAAGGCGTTCGCCTACAATGCCAAAGGTCCCGGGTTCGAATCCTGCGAGGAGCAGGAGTCGTGGATGCGCACTGCTGAGGAGTCCCATACTAGGACGAAACGGCCGTCCAGTGCTTCCAGGTTTCTAATGGTGGTCTAACAATGATGATTGATTAATGATTTCAAATGTGTAAAAATATATTTGGACAAGAAGCAATAAGGAAAAAGGACACGAATATATGTTTATATCTGTTCATACTAAAAATTGATGAGCATATACAGTGTCTAAATATAATGTCAACATGAATAGACAGGCAGATACAACGCAAAACTTCGTAAATAAGTACGTCAGTTCAGGTTGCCATACCACATCAGCACAGAGACGCAACTGTCAATTCAAATCCAAGAGTGATAGTAGAAGTATTAGCAGTAATCCAGAAGATAAGGGAGCGAAGATACGATTCAAAAAGTATAATTCAGTGAGATAAATTTAGAAGAAGAACATAGAGATTATGAGGAATTCAGAAGGTTAGAATTTGAGAGAACACTAAGAGTGGATGCACCTGCACCATTGCAAACGATTCTGAACCATGTCGTTCAAGGTCTCTAACCATTGGTGACTTTCGTCTCGCGGACCCCAACCAGGTAGTCTACATCTACCAACATGACTCAGTCCACTTGTCACTGACTACAAGGATTTCTGCCATGTTTTGGTCTGGCCGCCCCTAACTTTCTTCCAACCTACCCCTACACCACAAAACATAGCTCGTCGCGGCAGTCGGTGGTTAGGCGTACGTAACACATGTCCCAACTAACTCAAGTGATGAAGTTTCACATCTTCATCTATTGATTTGGCATCCCTACCTAGAACTCGTTTCCTAAGTACAGCATTGCTTATACGGTTGTCCCAGGATACACGAGCAATGCTTCGGAGAAATCTATAATCAAAGACTAGTAACCTACGAAAGTCCTCTACTCTTAACGGCCATGTTTCGCATCCGTATAGTAAGACGGAGCGAACTGCTGCATGGTACACTGGTCAACCTGAATAAAGATACAAATTTCAAAGATACTTGAATTGTTCAAGTTAAGATCAGTTTCAAAGTGTTGCACGCCCAGTGCAGACTCAACGGTGAAGCGATTACTTAGTTTTTAAGACGTCTGACCTTCTACCACTGAGTTGCAAGTTCAAATACCTCTCCAATTCGATTTCATCAACTGGGTAGAATCATCACCTTTAGCACTTACAGTGTGATTCAAATCCAAATACCTTGTGAATCAGTTAACGTATGTTACTTAAAATGATGGAAAGAAGAAATACTAATTTAAATAGAATGAATTCAAAAGTTAAAAAAGTATCATTAGAGAGGGTAGTTAGTTGTTACAATAAAAAAGAGGCTGTAGAAATGAATAAATATAACAAACGAACAGAAATTGATGAAAGAATGCAAACGAATGTAAGAGCAATCATGGAGGTAGTGTAGTGTAGATAGATTTTAAAGTCATACACAAATACGCTTCAACATACTGTTGATAACATACTCTACTGTTAAGAGATATGAAAGCAGGAATCAATCAATCAACAGTAACGTAGAACTTCGTACGTACGTACGTAGATCAGCTTAAGTTGCCTCACCAAATTAGCACAGAGATATAATTTTCAATTCAAATCCCATAGTAGCAGAGGTAGGGTTCCAAGATGTTATTCAAGAAGTATAATTCAGTGAAGTAAACTTAAAAGGAAAAAGATAAATGTTATGAGGTATTCTAAAGGTTAGGATTTGCGAGGACACAAAAAGTGGATGCACCTGCACCATTGCAAACGATTCTGAACCATGTCGTTCAAGGTCTCTAACCATTGGTGACTTTCGTCTCGCGGACCCCAACCAGGTAGTCTACATCTACCAACATGACTCAGTCCACTTGTCACTGACTACAAGGATTTCTGCCATGTTTTGGTCTGGCCGCCCCTAACTTTCTTCCAACCTACCCCTACACCACAAAACATAGCTCGACAAGGCAGTCGATGGTTATGCATACGCAACACACGTCCTAACCATCCCAACTGATGAAGTTTAGGTAATTCATCCACTGACCTGCCATCCTTACCTAGGACCCGTTTCCTAAAAACAGCATTGCTTATACGGTTGTTCGACGATACATGAGCAATGGTTCGGAGATACCTATGATCGAATACCAATAACCTACGAATATCTACTACCCTGACTGGCCATACTGAAACCAGCAATAAGTTGGAACAAACCATAAATTCGAAAATCTACATTGAATGTTGTTTGTCTGTGTGTAGAGGTAAACTTAAGACAAAAATGTAACACATAATCACTATAAGAGAACGCGTTGAACTGAAAGCCTTTTCATTTTTATCTCATTAAATATCACATTCTCTTCGCATGGCTTTTGGTGAGCATTAGATGGTTGATTAAGACGTTAACAATCAATGTCGGAATAACGTACATATCCCGACTTCATGATATGAAGTGCTAAATAAAATATTCACTTCTTAACAGCAATAAATACATATGATCAATTTGGTAAACAAATTGTGTACGAATTTACTAGTGATCTACCAAAAATTCTTTCAAAAAACATTTTCATTTTAAAATCCACATACCTCGAATTTGATAAATCGATGTTAGCGGTTGCATGAGTGATCGATTATTCCAAGTGTAAGCAAAAAGACCAGATATACAGATAATCAGTAATGAGATTGGCGCAGTAACTGACCAGTGTCTAGAATTTTAATAAAATCACTTAGTAAATTTACAATGCAACATTTTAATACAATTTACTCGATATATAATATCCTAAAGTACAAGAACAAACAACAAATATGAAATGAATATAATTTTACCAGTATACTTCTTTGAGTTAGACTCAGATAATACGTAGCTCTATTCCCAAGATGGACATGACGACTGTTTGATTTTATGACGTTGGTAAACTACCTGTTTCCGAAACGTTTCCAAACAATGTGGCCAGTGCCCTGACCAGAATTCAGGTACAGACCCTTTAGGAAACCACGATTAATTTCATACCACCATGAAAACACAGCCAGTCCTAATTTACACCTTCCGGTGAACTGGCAGCCAGCATTGAACTTAACTCAGTTTAATACTTGGTTATAGCGAAAGCCACAGCTACTTTGCTTTTATCGACTCGTTTAGGGCAATAAGTTGATTGGTCATAAAAACTTTGTATAACTGTGGTGGAAATCAGGTCACGATCATAATTCAAATAAGGACTCCAAAAGAAGTGTGAGTGCTGTATACAACTACGTCGTTGGTCGATAATCGCGATGGGATCAATCTCAGTCCAGGGTTAAGTTGAAGAGGAATGATACCATGTAGCACTTTCATAGAGTCTTGAATAAGAGTACACAATCAAAGCAAAATGGAATAGAGGTGAAGTAATATTAAACAAATGCATTAGAATTGAAGGAGGGGATTAGTTTGAACTATTAGTGAGATTGAACGAACAGATTACTTTCTTTGTAATTACTTTCATCTTTGTGAGTGGGCTACGCTTAAAGCACCAAGACGGAAGCAGTTGGATTTCTTAGGTCGCTCTTGATTTTTAGGCCCAGAAGTCTAGTCCACAAGGCAGTGGAGCAACATCAGGTAATATAGCCTCATAATATCTAGTGACTAAAATAGGTTCATATTACGTTCATCCCCTCACGTAACTGGGATCCATGTACTGTATTAATATGGAATCAGGATTCTTCAACTCCTTCAACCGGGCACAACACAATTTAAGCCCTGAGATTTGGCTCTCTGATACCAAACTTTTGTAAACAACGCCCCTACAGTGCGTAAGCAGTGGGCAGAACTTTTTAGCAGAGGTTATAAAAGCATGGCCATATGAAAGCGAAAGTGAACTTTTTCCATCCTTGGCTATACTGATATAAAACCTATAAACCTATGATAGAAATGATAGCCAGCAGTAACTATTGTAAGGTGAAAGCAATAACTGTTGCCGTTTCAACAATCAATATCAATAATGATTTGTGAAGCCAAAATACCAGCATAGTAATTATCCTTTTCATTAAACAACTTAAAGCCACCGTTAAAGATGGAATTCAATTAACAGTTGAATAGTTTCTTTTGAAGAAACTTACCTGCTGGGTAAGTATGTTATCCCAATCAGATTTAACCATTCATGTGGAATATATGCCCAGATAACATACAGCACTAAAATCGTAGAAAATAGTAAAAGATAAAAATTGTGATTTCCTTATTCCTGGATAGACATTCACAATTAAAAGCGTTTAGGACGTCACATTTTGAAGTAATAACAGGTACAGCGTTATAGCCGAAGGATACTAGAATATACGCAACATATGAACATTTACGACATCAGTGAAAGTACTTTATTTGAGATGAAACCTTAGAAACCTGAGCAAGTACATTTGTAAACAATAACAATAATAATGATAGCTTTATTAAACATTATATGTTTAGTGCAATATAGCCGAGGAAATCAGTATACTGTAGTAGTAAGTGAAACAATTCAAATGTTATAACAATAGTATACAGGTTAGCTTAGCGACAAACAGTAAAACTATAAGATACATAAAACCAACGGCAGTATTATTAAAAAAAAAATACAAAATCATCAAAAAACCAGATAAATAATTTTCCAGAGATAGAATAGTAGAAGGACTAATCATTGCAGTAATATGAAATTTTTTCGTGCTTGCGTTTGACTTAGATAGATATCATTCAATATCACCACCAGTCACATCTACTCTAGTTAGGTAGCCTATTTTCAAGCTGCAAAGCTCAGATTCAAATTCGATGACATCAGGAAATGGTGTTTTGTTTTCATGCGGACATTATTTGGCAGCATCCAACATAGTTTTACTTCAGTGATCACAATAATATATGGTATCTGGATATTAACAACACAGGGTACCGTAATTGATGAGGAATTATGATTTTATTCGCTAAGATTCACTCTATTCCTAACAATAACGCACCTCAGTCAATGGTTTTATCATAAATGAAAATAAAGAATAAAGAACACGTGTTTAACGCAATTAACTGGAAATCATGACCTGCGGAAGTAAAATACATCTACATTCTACAAGAATTCGGTCGACAATGTCTATGAGACATAGCTTTTGAATGCTGGGATCATCTAGTGGGCTATATTGATAGTGAACGTATGGTTTAAGGGATAAAACACAGAAAACGAATTGATGGGGCTAAAAACTTTAGTTATTCTAGGTACATAGAACAAATATTAGCGTACATACTACCTATCTAGATGCCTAGCGCTCATTAGTGTAGGATAAAATTAAGAAACACGAAGCTTTCTTATTCAACTTCCTGTGCTAAAACAAAGTATGGCGACTTGGACCAATGCAAATTTAGTTTAGATATTGTGCTACTTAAGAGTTATTAATGTACGTCCATTAACTCAGCTGTCTGTTTTGTTACCTTATTTTATATAGAGGTTGAAGGGGTCGTGAAATGAAATTTGTCACATTCAATGACTAATCGCGAACAAAATCTAATTTTACCGTAGTGATAAATTAGAGGTGAACCATACCGCTCAGAGTGATAACCTTCCACCATAATATCAAGAAACTGGTAGTCGAGTTTTAAAGCCATTAAAAAACATAATTGCTTATTTCTTCGAAAATTTCGTGTGCATTTGCAACGGTCAAATCAATGATGATTGATATACTGTTAAGAAATATATTATAAGAACATAAAACTGAGTGTATAGGTGCATAGGAACCAAAAAAAGTAGCAACCAACAATAAAATACACGACCTATTAATTGACGACTCACCAAATACAGGGAAGCATACAAGATGTATAATGAAGCCATAGATTGCCCTCTGATCTAAGTGCTCACGATTTGGATGAATGTAAGGTATAGCGATTGAAGGTTTTGTTTTAGGGATGTGCTTATACGACCCATCATTTGAACACATGATCAGTACAATAACCCGAGCATAAATCTAAAATGATCTAAAATCAGAGTAGAAGTCAATGATTTTGGGATGGAACTCACTAGTCAGTCAGTTGTCAGTAACATAGACAGACTATATGCATCTAAGCTACTGAGATTGAGTCTCAGCTGTCATCCGTTTTTGACCACTCATAGTAGTCTGAATCTACCAACACGGTTCAGGCTATATCAGCAGCTTTTCGGCTAAGTGTGGAAGTAACCATGAAAATGTATATCCGTAATAAATAACCAAAAACAGTAAAGTCTGACCTAACATAGATGAAAATCTATATTCCCCAGGCAGCTAGAAGACAAACATGTTTAGAGTGCAGAAGTTAGTTCATACAAAACTGTCAACAAAAAGCAAACCATACCACCGCGTGAAGGTAGCATATACGGTACGGAGATGCATCATTAAATAGCATGATGGGGACATCTTAACCTTGCATACATTTAAACACAAGCGGTAAGTGCGTTATTGCTGCTTATTGTTAGTACGAACATAGTGGGGTGCGAACTTGACTATTTGGATGGTTCTTTTAAGCTGGATATGGTAGAAATGTGGATCGAGTACAATTGAATTGCATTCTTTCAGTTTAAACTGTTAGAAAACTCGGCTTCTCCAAACAAGAAGTTAGTTATGTCTACATATCTGAATGAATTCTTCCGACCGAATAAGAATTAACACCATCAAACCGTATCATGACGCCTAGTAACAGTAAAATTTCCAGTTAGTTTGAACTAGTTTTTGGTTTCACAGACTTTCAAAGACGAATATAAATCTGTGTAAATGTTGCTGAAGAGATAGAGAGGCAGTTAGCAGTAGTAAATCGGATGAAATTTGTAGTGCCTCGAAATAATTACCTCTGACTTCTCAAAAAATAACAACTTCAGAGAATAGATCAAAGAATAAACATCTGTTCCTAAAATAGCCTGAGCTATATCCTTTTCTTGCAGGATAAGCCACTAAGCGTAAATTCATAGAAAAAGGATGAATATTTTGACTGAAACTGTGAAGGAATCGGACTATTTGAGGAATTTGTAGAGAAAAATTAGACTGATAGATTATGATTCAAACCTAGGTACCCAAAAAGGTAGAATCCATCGACCTGGTGTGGATAGCAACAATTTGGTGCGCTTCCATTCATACTATTAAAGGATTCTATAAATATTTCTGGGATTTTGTATTTACTAACTGGCATTGGAAGCGATATCTTTAGGAATAAAGCTGCACAATCATAGTTTATCCTCAGTCTCAAAAAAACTACGCAAGTACCGAAGTTAAACCTTAGAGATCCGAATATGGCAATAAACAATGCTGCAAAGATACGAACAACTAACGTTATGTACCGACACTTTTACAACACCCGCGACTGTCCAATGCACTAATTGCTGAATGCATATTATTACAAAAACGTGATTTCTTGTTGTTATGTGCAGTGAACTTTGACAATAACTTTGGTAATAACATTTATTTTTATTTCAGTTCCAGTTACTATTCCAATTTTCGGAATCTGAATGTTTTTATTTTAATGAAGTACAGTTTGGGCAAACAGCATCTGCTAGATTGCCAATAAGCATGCTTTTCAGCCTTGATAGCAATGAAAAAAGTACCTCGAATAGTTAAGGTTGAAACGAAGTCTATTATTTGAAGTGAATATATAAATCATGCAATCATTATGAATAGACAGAGGTGTTAGAATCACACGATAACGAAAATGACGGACAAGATAAATGATACCAGGTTTATTGTACCTAGTAATCACAGTGGTGGATGAGTTATTTGATATATTTCAAGGGAATTGAGTTGATTTATCAGATGATATGGGTTGATAAATCCGTTGTCGTGCAGACCTACTCTTGAAGTTATTCACTATGAGTGCTACCATGAACTGTGAACTGCACTCGATCATCAGATCAGTGAGAATAATCTGGAGTTTTGAAGTCCGTATCGTCAGATGACATCTCAATTACCTAAATTCAATTAAGTTAGGAGTATAAACTACTTGATGTTTGCTCAGTGGTCTCAAGTTTAGTTTCTCATAGAAAAGTTCAGAGACCATGTCTTTGATTTTCATTGGGATTGTGAATGTGTGTAGCAACTAATATACATTTTGGACTATGACCATTGTTGAGCTGGTATACGCATGTATACTTTGTATTTGTTCACCGCAAACGCACATAATCATTCTACTAGCTTTATTGATCAGTCGTTTAAATAATTCGATGATAATATCGACTGTACATACAGGTAATACATCTAATAATTGTATCAGTCATCATATATTTCGAATAATAAAAAAGTTGTGACAACTGCTGGCTTGAAATAATTTTCCTACTCAGAGTTTCGTGAATTCCGGTTATTCAAAACTTCTAAGCTACTCTTGGCTTTACTACTTTGACGGAGTACGTAATAAAGTATACATGGGGTTAGGTTGTGTTAGCTATACAGGAGGGGAAAAACTAAGCACGTTCTGAAAGAATCGTGATTTTATGATTATTTTCAAAATAAGACTTCGCGAAAGACCCTTTCATCCGCTATCTTTTATGTTCTCTTTTCTTTAGATTTTTTGCGGACTAAGAAAACAATGAGCAGGTTATTTTGGTTGTTGCCTATTTGAACAATTTTGTTAATCTGGGCACCTGCGGTAGGCCACAACCAGGGGTGCTACATACCTATCTAGTAGCATAACGGTGTGTAAATACAGGGAAAACTCCCAAATAAAATGTTATATCAGCACTTGGCAGTAGCGTTGAGTAATTTCTAGTGGATGTCAGCTAACTGAATCCGCATCATCATCTGGTCATAACATACTCTAATAAGTCGCTTTTCCCACTCTATCTAACCAGCAAAGCAGTTACATGCTATACGATCAACTACAAGTTTTACTTACTTGTTGCACTCCTTTTTTCCTAAAAGTGTATATTTACTGTTCAGCACCAGTGGGAATTATTTGGAATGGATCCGTGTGATGGTTTACCAATAATTCTCTTTACTCACGTGTTAGTTTGACGCTTTGTTCTAACTGTTTTCAAGGGTAATTGTTCTCACTACCAAATGATGGTAACAGAAAACACCTGTGTGATCTCTCAAATGGACAGTTTTGGAAATTCAAATTGACTTGAACACGCTATTCATCCAAAATTCAGTCTCTACACAGGTAGTCCTAACAAACCCTTGGCGTTGCATAGGAATCGACTACATAAACAATTTAAGTGACGACTGATGCCGAAACGATTAACCTGACTCATGAATATAGACTTCTAACCTTTATTGAATTAATAGGAGCAACTCAGCGCTCGTGGTTAAAATTCAAAAGACAAATTTACAGACTGAGCATCTCTAATCTGTCTGTCCCCAAGGGAGTCGAAAGCCCGCATTAGGCTTCATTCACTGATTCAAACCAAAAAGTTAACTTAGTCCTTCATACTGTTTAATGTAATGGCATATCACGTCTCACCTGATAGGAGATAAGTATGACCGACTTCATATGTGTACACTAACACATGCTGACCATGGCTAGGCTGAAATCAAGCATATAACGCAAGCGATTCCTCTTCCGAAAACACTTCTAGCAATACTATAGAGCCTTAAATAACCAGAGAACCTATCTACCTACTAAGAAAAAAGCCTTCTGACACCTTATTCGACAATTTCTGGGTTAGTCAAAGTTATTTGACTAGCATTTGGATGCGCATACAAGTTGTTTTAGAACAGGACACAAAGCATCTGTAGTAAAAGATGAACATTTGAAAAATTCTCTCATGAAAGAGATCAGCGGTAATTTACTTTAAGAGTACTAAACCCAATCAATATACGTGTTAACCATGTAACAAGACCTTCGAGGCCTGTGCAACGTCAGTCATCACCATAACCCAAGTCAATTCACGTAACTCGAGACCCGACTGGTGTGATTACAACAGCCCTTGAGTCGTGGCAAAACACGGTAGTCTTACTCCTTTCTATAGTGGTTGAAATCTGTGAGAACGAGTTATGACCTATCAGAAAAAGTTGACCGAAATCTAAAGCGAGCTTCTCTAATCATTAAACTTTCTATATACTAGCTGGTCACACGAAAACATCTTACCGATGGAACTTATCTGTGAAAAGTTACCTAAAGGACTCATTACTTATAGCCAGGTTATAAATGAAACAATGGCTTTAAAATTCATGCACCTGTGTGGCATAGACAGATTATAAAATGACAGAAACCAACAACGACAATACTAACTAGTCTTCATCAACCCAAATTTTACGCTGACGTCTTCTGTTATTTGGCTGTTGAGGTTGGGAAACACATTAGGAGGGTAAGTGCGCAACTACATGAAGACTCATTTAACTGGTTAACTTCATTGTCGAGCATCAGAACGTTTATTAAACGAACGTCAAACATAGGTTGATAGGCGAATCGAAAAATATGTCAAAGAGCTTAACTAAAGAATGAATTAGTTTCAATACAGCATTTTGATATTGATTGCTTTGTCAACAAAAAATACTGAACGGAAACTGAGAACTACCTTTACAGTTTGTGGAGGTTTTGTATATTTGAGTACTGATATATTACAAAAGTTTAAGTGTTCCACTGTGTAACGAATATACAAGTTAATTATTGTTTCTTTAAAAAAATGTAGCGAGTAAATGAACACTGATCACAAAGTTGGACATTGGTTATTGATCGAAAATAGATCTACAATTCTGCTTCGTCTGGTATTTCAGAAGTAAAAGCTTCACGGTTTTCATGAGCCCAAAATCCTTGAAGATCAATTAATATGTTTATTACGGTATCACCCTTACCACTGTATAAATATATGAACAACAAAAATTTTAAATTATAAACAGATAAACATTGGAAGAAAAAATTTATACAACATAAGAACAAGAGTAATCAATCAGTCTATTGATACTTTATGTGAGAAAATGTTACAAAAGTCAAAAATTCTATGCAGCGAAGTGATGTCGCAGATAATCATAAAAGGTTAAAAAGATCTAGTACATACTGACTCGACTGACAAGTATCAATGACTAGCCACTTGACAATGTTTACTGTACGTTAACTGACTAGTCAAAAAAATGTTGAACACAATGGCCGACTTGTCCAGACGACGAGTGACGTTTGAAAGATGATGGATCATTTTTGTCTTACTGAAATACGCTAAGTGAGCCGAATTAAGTGAAATTTTACCCCAACGTAATAAGAAACAAATACTTTCGGGATGTTTCTCGCATACATTATTAATCCGATCTAAACGTAATAAATTCATAGAGCACATATGTATGGTAGATACTGTTTCTATTGGTATTTTCCATAATTCTGAAAATCTAGTGAGTTACTGTAATTCTACTGGTTGTCTACCCATAAACTAGTGAGAGGAGAGTACTAAATTTATATTAGCATGTATACATGTGTACTCACACTAAATTCAGATTTACAATATTCAGTAAACACAGAATTCCAATTACAGTTAGCATTCTTTGAACTGAAGTGTGAACTAGTAAAGGCTCAATATGAATATAAAATCAAAGTAACTAATCCCGTTAATGTGACCATATGTAATGCATTCCGATAAACCAAAGCTGAATGGTAACCTGTGAAAATGTGACACAGTAACAAGATACACATTAGGGTACGATATATATATATATATATATATATATATATATATATATATATATATATATATATATATATATATATATATATATATATATATATATATATATATATATATATATAACTAGTACGGAAATCAAAACTATAAGTTTTAAGGTAAACATAAACCTACCAATTGATAAGGTCATCTACGGTGATGTAATGTGGATTCGCTGGTCGTACCATATCAAATATTTCACTTAATACATTTTCAAAACTTGGTGTATCACTATCTGAAGCACGTAGTTTCTTTTCAATCCCATCATAGAAATATCTTAATGTCAATGAGTCCAGTTTACCTTGACCTCCAACATCAAGAATACGAAAAAGATAAGCAATTGCTTGTGGTTCATGTTTATTTTCCGTAGCCAAAACCAAATCTAAATAAGTTTTGTAGTCCTAGTAAGTAGATGTAAAAAGTGACTTTTAAGCAGGAAATTATAACGCTAATGTGACAAATTATGGTAAACGTGTATGGATTTGATTTCAATTCAACAGCTGAACAATTAACTACTAAAAATAGTAACTAAATACATTTGGTTTTATGTGGGGCGAATGCAAACCTGAAATTCTGTGAATGAAAAAATAACGCTTTATTCACTAAACTACTGCTTCACAATAAACTATTATAATACTTAATTGATCAGAAACATCCCTAAGTTTCCGATTACTAGCTTAACATGAATCCAAGAATAAAATTTCTCATCCCAGACAGTTCGAATTATTCAAAACCAATAAAAAAAAAACAGTACAATAGACATCCAAAATATGTCTTGAGCCACGTATTTGTGTGTGAGCAGACGATGGTACAAGGCTAATCAAATCAAAGTAGAAGTAGGCAAGATGGGAAATAAACGGATGGAGACAGTAAGTTCAACTGAAGTAAAGAAATAAATACAAGAAATACAGTTTGAAAGGAAGGAATGTGGTTGTAAAATAAAAACTATGGAATAACATCAAGTTGTCGACTGAAGGAAGGACAGGCAACGAATACAAAGTCTCCAAACACAGATCACAACTGTGATTTAGGCTTCAACCAAGAAGTCTGGACATTGTGATATATCAGTCCAAAAGTTAGTGACTTTATGGATTGATATTTCTGTTGTTCATACAGTCCTTGGTTTTTTCTAGCTGCATCAATTAACTTCAGGAGAGTATACATAATCTTCCATGTGTTTTGATCTTTAGCACTGGTTGTAAAACGAAGTGAAGATCAAGTTTAGGAGGAAACATTGGTAACATGGTTGAGAGAAAATTAAGAAAATGAGACAGGGTTCAGGAAAAGAAAAATGGGGTTGAATGCTAATTATACAGTATCTTCGAGTGAGTAGTTCTTCACGTGGTATCAGCTTGATACGCTTTAAAAGTTTACAATCGGTACCAGTAATCTGTCAGATATGTACGTATATCTCATAACCTCTCTTTTTGACTACCAAATAGTAGTATCGCTAACGATACAGTTTGCCTATAAGAAACTCTGTGATACTAATGTACCACAGTGAAGTCAGAAATAAGACTTCATCTTATAACTTTGGATCTGCTACTTGTTGTCTCAAAATTCGCCAGTCACCGCGTTTAGTGTGGTAAGACCGTAAAAACAACGCTTCCAGTCATTAAGGTTTCACTGTGTAGATACAAATAAACAAGTCAAACCATTATATGAAGGTGACATAACCATTTAGTAAAAGCAGAACCAACTTTAGCCAGCATGAAAAAATGTGTGAAATAGTTAAGAATAAAAGTTTGTTAGCTTTCGAGGATATATTTTTCTTGTTATATTCCTGGTGATATAATGTTGTGTTACTGAATGTAACAAGTGTCTGATATGAGTTCCTTTGGAAGTTATCCTTAATCAAACTTCAAGCTGTCGATAAGTTAATAACTTACATTCCAATAATTTATTTATCGCCTACTGTTACAGCAATATAAACCAAATGAAACCCAGAATTTAAAATGAACAAAATAAGTTTGTGAAGAAAATAAACTGACCATTTCACCTTCATAGGTTAAGCATTCTTGAAATACACGATCGAGAAATACGTCAGTTAACGTACCATTTCCAAATCTTTAAAAAAAATACAATGCATATACATACGTAAGTCAATACTTTCCAATAGTGTTAAAATAACAAGTAGTCATAGAAAATTGAACCTTACAAACAGATGCTAATTTCTATAGACCACAAAAACTTTGTTGTTGCTGACATCAATCAGCAAACCTCTAATAAATCATTATTTCAATTATTAGTTTGGAAAAGGTAGAACAGAAAATCAAATCTGTATAACTAGTATCGAAATAAATAGAAATAAAAAAAAGAAAGATAACTACATCGAGAAATTTAAGGGACTTATAAATATAGTACGACTTATAGTTTAGATTCTATTAATGATGCATGACAGGAAAGCAGTTGTATTGTTACAGTTGAGTAGACTTTTCAAAGTAAACTCTCAGTTATTGATATATAGATTTTCTAGAAATTGTCTAATTGTATTTTTAAACTTTGTACTCGTTAGGGCGATCATCAGGTTTTGTGTTGCGTATAGCTAAACTGAAAGGGTCATCTAGTCAATTAACCAACTAAATATATTGGATAATCCAAGTATAATTAATATGAATCTAGAAGACTGATTGATAACAGATACATAAATATGCTCATGTTTATAAATGGTATATGCGATAAGACAAATGATAATATTATATATACTTTAAATTAAATTTGGAATATTTTCAAAGTGATGAGATAGTTGTAAAAATTTATATTCAGAATTTTTGAATTATACTTTCACTAGAATCGATAGAGCATTAAGTCAAATAATTATGATACCATTTCCAAAATTTAAAATAAGATTACTAACAACTGAGTAATTAAAAATGAAAATACAAATATACGATTATTTAGGTGCCTTAAAATTTTATCCTTCATAATGGCTACACGACAACAAACGAGAATATGAAGTAAGTTTTTATTAAACAACGATATCGACTGGAGAACTGCTGAAAATTACAGAGAGTCGGGTAGATGTTTTGTCTTGTTTCGGAAACGGTTACATCAAATTGGAGAATAATTAAATTTGAAAATTAAAATGAATCTTGGAGCTACATCACGACCAAATGGACACGGCAGATATTTAAACATGGAGCTTAATCTCACTGGTCGTTCAGTATCCTGTCAGTAACAAGAATTAGAGATATTGTTATCTAATTCAGTTTGAGGTTATGGATGAGTAAGAGTAAGGAATCCTGGATTTTTAATTGTTCTCACACTAACATTAGTTCATGACTACAATTATTTTGAAAATGATCAAAGCTTAATAATTAACAAGTTCAATAAACCACTATGTAATCCGACGTTAATTTTTTGGGAAAAAATTAGTAAAAAATTTTAGACCTGGTTTTTAAAATGTTAACAATCGTTAGCACAGCAATCATAGAACTTTGAAAGAAGCATATAACTAAATGACCTTTTTTAAAAGCTTGTTTAAATTACATGCTGAAATAGAAAATTTATTACGAAAAAATGTTACTGTGACAAGTTAATAAACGAGGTATTTAAAAATGCCATTAGGAAAAGTTTAGCATTCAGATTAAAGCAGAATAACAGACATAGTTATTAGCTTTTTCTTAAACTAAATAGCCTCTATTTATTGAGTAGTAGATGTAACTCAATAAACAACTGATATTAATCATAAAGCTGGATAATTAAAAAGATTAACTAACTCTTATAGACAAAATAACTGTTATCAGATAATAAATGTCATAAATCCTACCGTGATAATTCACTGCGTGTTAACAAGCCATTTCGATCTTCATCCAAGAGTAAATAGCTACCGTAAACACGTATAGCTGATTGATGACTAAACCAATTAGCAGCTAATTGTGCTTCTGATGTAGTTACTTCACGTAATTCAAGCATAGAGTCCAAAAATCCACTAGATAAAATGTCGGTGATACGTACACGACCCGAGCGTAAAGGATCAAGGAAAAAAAAGAACTTTCGTACAGCTGTGCACACATAGAATGTTTGAAACGTCGGCTCCAACTCTGATAGCTGAAGTTATTTTTGAAAAAGAAATACAGAATTACTTAATAAAGAAGCATTCTAAGGATTTAAATCGAGTTCCATAATTCCTAAATGAACATCATCAAATTCTATGAGACGAAGGGTAGAATCAAAATTTCACAACAATGTAGATAATTCTAAAACACAGTATCCAGTCACACTATAGCGCCTGTAAATTGAGAACTATCACAATTCAGAGGTATCGGTTATATACAGTAATTTATGAGTAACCGATTTTGAGATCTAGTAACACTAACTAACTGGCTAGATAGCAATAACTGGTATAAGTTTAAAAGCATGACAGATAAGTGGCTAGATTATTAAGTCACAGTCACGTATCACAGTCCATGTTTCATGCACCGATTATATTTATAGAGCACAAGTAAACAACGAAAAACACTGCATTATATTAAACAAAACTTAATGCTGCAGGAAGATCCTGATTATTAAAGAAAATTGGTGGGGATGCGACTGATTGTTTGTTCGGAATTGGATTGTATTCATAATTTTTAAAAATTAATCATTACTGGTTTTAGTTACATTAGATCTAACGACCTATCAGAGTATTTATTGTATTGACATGGATAACAAATTCAAACTTGGCTCTTTACGGTGAAATTCATGAGCAGATTATATAGTTCATCTTTTAAATACTGAATACAATCTAAAGTATGTCATGTGTCTGACTACATAGTATTAACAGCCAAATGGTATAGAAACAATTCATTCACAAAGTAATTGAATTCATAGTAAAATATAGAATAAACTAATTACCTGACACAAAGTCGGTATAAGTTCCAACATATAATTTTCCAGATCGGTCTCTCGCAAATAACCTTCACCGCACACATCATAAAGAGATATTCCAACATGAGTTTGTTGCAACCACACTTTTTTCATGACATAATTGAAAAATGCTAAAATGTTAATACGTGACAGAACTTCATCTTCACGAAGTAACTTAACAAATGTAGCTGCTGTGAAATATTGCCTGAAATATAATAATTCATAAATTTCAACTAGATATCTGTAAATATTACAATTATAGGAAGCAAGTAAAATGTAGAGATATTAAAGTGTAAATTAATGCTAATTACTTACAGTAATCAGTAGCAGTTTGGAATGAAAAGTGTGGTTGACCGATTATTGTTTGTTACATATGACTAGCACTGAACAATGATCATCAAACTTATATGATAAAGCTGTATGAACAAAGACGTTTGGTAAGGCTGAGATAAAAATGATTATAGATTAATTCTTTGAACCTTTCTACGATTGATAACAGGTTTTTGATAATTGATATCCTAAATCACGATATAACAATGAAATGGATAATATCTGAGCTACAAATAGTGGATTGAATAAAACGTTTTGTCACGTATTCCCCTGTGATTATCAGAAGAGGACTTTTGTCCATTCTGGTGAAAAGTCTTTTTGTGACAATCACAGAAGAATAAGTCTAACTAATATAGTATCGAAAATATTGGCCTCAATAATACTCCGACGCCTAACGGAAGCTCGTGAAAAGCAGACTGGGGAAAACCAGGCTGGTTTTCGACATGGACGTGGATCTACAGACTAAACATTCACACTATGTCAGGTGCTAGAACAAAGACACACGTTCAGACCTTAAGGCGGCATTCGACTCTGTCGATCGTGAGGTTCTGTGACAGTGTTTGTCATTAAAAGGTGCATCAAAGAATTACATTACCTTATACAAGCTCTCTACTCGAACACCACTGGTCGAGTGAGAGCTTATGGTGAACTGTTGACAGAATCGGTTACTTCAAGTGCTGTCCGTCAGGGCTGTCCACTCTCTACATTCCTGTTTAACTTTGTCATAAACATGCTTTTGAAGTTACCTTTATCCTTCTCTTTATAAAGTTATCTCACTGAACTACACTTCTTGCATAATTTCTTCGATCCCTAATTTCCTCCACCACTGACTGATAGTTGCGTCTCTGTGCTAATGCGGTACGTACGCACGTACGAAGTTCTGCGTTGTAACTGACTAGCTGACTGACATGTACTTTTTTATATTTACTTTCATTTTTGGGATTTCTGTTATGATGCTTGTAAAGGTAGTAGAGTTAATATGTGTCGCAGATCCTATATCAGTTAATCTCTATAATGCTTTCAAAAGTTGTTTATCGAAATCAGATTTAAATTTTTTATACGTTTCTAAATGTTTCCTACATATTTTATTGGAAATAGTAACGATAGAAAAATAGCTTAATATTTGTGAGAGACATGTAATTCATTAATCCTAGGTGGATCCTTAGACGTAATATATATTCGTCCCTACGTAGACTTGAAAAATGTAGACAAGCTACGTTGAAAAACCTGCTGGATTTAAAATAACCCAATGAGTAGAAAATAGGACTTTCTGTCTTAATTCGAGAATTGTTTAGTCTCTGAAGAAACAACTGACACCAAGTCGCAAGACCTAAGGAATTTGATTTTCCACTAGTCAGAATGACAGACATATTACACCATTATCATGATGAAATACACTTTAAAACCAAATGGACAGTAAATTGTTGCCTAACTAAAAGGTTCAAAGGTGGATTAGGAAAGATAGATCAAGCTGAAAACAAAAATCATTTGATAAACTTACTTTGCCTTGGGAGATGCTTCTTTAGATGCTTTGCGAAAATTCTCATAATTCATAAATTTTTCACCGTTAACTGTAGGAGGTGAATGATAGCGTTCCAAAAGATACCAAAACTCCTTGTACAGAACAGTTTATTACAGATAATATCTTACTTGGAGTTCAGTATTAGACAATAACCCCATACTTTTTCTCTCCAACAAAGCAGATCTAAAAGTGATCAAGATTTACTTTACTACCTACCTAGCGTCCTCTCGTAGTTTTGTGGGCAAAACCTCATTATCTTGTGGTACCTAAATAATAAATTAATGATAGCCTAATATGTACTTACACGCTGAAAAAAATCTGGTATCCCCAAGTTATCTGATACATAATCCTCAACTCCACCCCATGTTTTGTAATAATGCAAGAATAAGTCACTGTGTATTTTTCCTAATGCAAGAAAACAATAGTTAAATTTGAGTAACAAACCAATCGACATCCTAAGGCTTGATAGTTATAACGGCTTTGATAATCTATGGTAGAAAGGCCATGTGAAGATCTGTCATTTAATTGGCATCAGATAACTGGATATTGGAACAAAAAGTACATAAGGAATGGAAGTCATAAAAAAGTAGCCCTGATTATCAGATTTTAAATAAATACTCCATGGTGCTGAACATTTATGAAGAACTTACAAGCTTGGAAATAAAAAGAATAAAGAAAAGCAGAATCGTGTACAAACCCGGGAGAATTTTTTAAGTGAAAATGTAATATATATATATATATATATATATATATATATATATATATATATACGTGATTAAAAGATTTCAACGTTTAGTTTTGCTTTAGAATGGAATACATCTAGGAATATAGTTAATCGGGAAACCAGTCAAAAAAAAGGAAAACCAATCAACGACACTCAAGAAAAGCGACAGATGGGTAGAACACTCTCAAAAACTTTTGAATAAATCAGCCCGACTCAACCCACCAAATATCGAAACAGCACCTACAGACCTTATAAACGTCACTCTAGCAATCATGGAAAAGATCAGCAGGGCCATCAGATATATCGAGTGATAAAGCAGCACGGGCATACAACATACAAGCTGAGCAGCTGGAATCAGACGCAGAACTAGCTTTAAAGCTACTCCAAGCTCTCTTCAGCAAGATTCTGGAGGAAGGACAAATAACAATACTTCATGAAGATGCCGAAGAAGAGAGATCTTAGCAAGCGTGACATCTACAGAGGAGCTACTCTACTGTAAGTACCACAAAGAGTCTTCAACAGTGTTGTTGAACAAAGAAAGATTCTGTAAACACCCACCTTCGAGACCAAAAGGCTAGATCCCGTGAGGAGCGATCGTGTATCGACCAAATCACGACGTTACCGATCACTGTTGAACAACCACAAGAAATGAAACCCATCACCATACATAAACTTCTCTCACAATGGGAAAGCGTTTGTTGTTGAGGACCGGATGACGCCATGGAGGCTTCTTCAACAGCCATATTTGATAGTACTAAAAAACTTGGATTATTGTTAGCTTAAGACTTATGTTAGACAGTTTCCTTATAAGTGGTATTGAAAATTCGGGGCGGAAGGAAGCGAAACTGTAGCACAAATCTTGGGATTCCAACCTTTTAATCTAATTAGAAGTATGAAAAAATCAACAGATCATTTGGTGTACCATGACCAGAACTTACAATTCATGGGCCATCGAGATAAGAAAAACCCTAGAGTTGGTTCCTAACACTAACCACCCTAGTTTGAAATATACCGTGACATTCTAGCAATTCAGTAGACTATATTGTTTTGGTGGCATCGTTTAGCTCCACTAGTGACAGTGATAAACTACAGTTGCCTGATTCTATAGTGCGGAAAAAGCATTGGCAAAAGTCATGTATATGGGTGTATCGACCACAACAATGGGCATAATGTGTTCCCTTTACGTGGCAGAAAATAGGTTTTAAGTAAGAGATAATTTCAGTTTTTAATGAAAATTCAGTATATTCAGTAAGCGATAGTTCATTATCCATGTTCAACAACTTAATCTACAGCGTTCTGACAAAACTATGAATTGTAGACTCTGTGAGATAAAAATCATCCTATAAGTGAATTATGCTTTTTGAATGGCTAAAGTAAGTCAACGGCATTTATTTACTTAATCCTCCAAATTTGCTTTCCCTGAATATATGGGTGCAAGGTCAAGGGTATTCTGGCCGCGGCCAATACATTATTCAACATCCAATGTCTCTTACACGAGCTTGTATGAACCAATTAATTATTTTACACTCGATTCTTGTTCTTCCAGTATGGTTCCAGGTGCTCAGTTGTGTCCAGTGAATTAAGGTCTAGCCACTCTACTGTCTAATTCTAGTCACTTGGCAGTTGTTTGTTCCAATATCAAACATCTTTTTCACGAGTTACTGTAAACCAATTTGATTGCTTCGCGCTAGATTCTTGTTCTTTTGGTGCGGTTCCAGGTGTTCGGTAATGTCCAATGGATGGAGGTCTAGCCACTGGACTGTCTAATTCTAGTCAGTTTGCAGTTGGTTGTGAGTTTGTATGTCTCGGGATTTGAATGACAACGTTTGTTTCAGGGCAGTAGGGTTTCTGGATACTAGCAGCCGTCACATTACCAGACCGGAGATCGGTTAGTTGCAATGTGGAGAGTAATAAGGATAATAAGGATAAAATTTTAATGCTAATATGAATAAAATTTCAGAACTGAGTAATATATAGATGAATGTAGTTTGTTAATTGGTAGTGAAGATTGTGAGAGCTGACCGTAGTATAAGCAAGGGGGAGGGAAAAGGGATGGGAGGCGAGATAGAATAAGTAAGTGACCTAAGGAGACGGCAATAATAACAACTAGCAGGTCTCAAGATATGCATCAGCTTGTCCAAGAGGGAGATGATAGCCCGTATGTGAGTACGTGATTATCAAGTCTCTTCTTAAAGCTGTCCACTGAGGGGGCTGTGGTCACCTAAGTTGGGAGAGCATTCTAAGTTGCGACGACTCGTAAA